TATCAGGGAACTTCATATCTGTTGCCTTCACACAATGACAATAACCATCTTGCATCAACTCGTCTCACCTTACACCAAACAACCTCAGCTACCATTATACCGCACACGCACTACCAGCCCACTACCTCATACACACATCCCTTACATTATCTTTTTCCTCTCAATGACCCAACTCTAGTCCTCCTACAGCATTCCCTCACGCTTCCGATTTAAATTATCTGCGTTTATAAATTTCATTCTACATGATAGACAACGAAAAACGAGATGTAGACACACGATTTATAGACCACGAACTCACAATCCAGTGATTATAAATTATGTACAGCCCTTTTGAACCAGTGTGCTTTACATTCTGCTGCGTTTTCAAACCATTGACAACATGGAAATATTTTTTAAAGTAGCGTCTGTGACTCTTTTTACCACCGCGTTCATGGTTGGACCCTGGTATGCTTTAAAATATCGTTTTAAAATTCGAATAAAATGGACAAAACGCAACCCAATGCCGAATTAAAACGCTATGCGTCAGCGTTCCATACATATAATATGGACGATTGAGAGCCATAAATGGCGAAGAATATTTTTCGCAATTTTTCGTGGAGAGTCTTGGTCATGGAGCTCGTAGAAACGCCGGTGTTTCCAAATTTCGATATTTGGCTCATCGCTCTCGATCTTTTGGGATCCTTCTTGGGGTCACTGAGAGGCCGAGAGTGAAAAGTTGCGAGCTAGAAAGACCCGCGTATTTTGGTAGATAGTCACGTGGTGCATGGAGCGGGTCCCATGTGATTGAGAAATGGGTAGACACTCCGCTGCGGGATTTTTTCAAATGGTGAACACATGAGTTGAACCTTCAAGACGGAATCGAATTTGAGACTTCTGAAGCGCTTGCACGTTTTAACACAGTAGAGCACACAGCACTGAATTTGGCGTCTATTCTTTGTCTGCCTCGGTCTCGTCGAGCTCAACTTGTGCAATCGTGTACTCAACGCTGACGTCCCAGCGGCTTCCCGGCGCCCGGACGCTCACAAACTTGACAAACTTCATCGTGTTCTCGTCGTGCAGCACGAGGTTGAGCGTGTTGTGTTGGGCGTGTACCGTGACCAGCGCATCGTCATCGTCGTCGTCTTCTTGGAGGCCCTTGGCAACGTCGCCGAGGCCATCCTCCTCAGCGGATTGGTAACACTCGAAGCCACCCACGTCGCCACTGCTCCATGCCTCCTTGGCGTCGGCATCGCGGCAGTTGGCAAAGCACAGCACGAGGTCCAAGAGGGTTTCTGTCGGGAGCGTTTGCTCGTGTGCGAGCGTATAGTCCAAGCCGGCGCGGAACCGGCGCACTTGGCTGCGCGCACCTGTGGGCAGAAACCCCGTGAGGAGCCAAATAAACTTCTGGAAAGGCGGCGACGCCACGAGCTTGTCCTTGACATGACCGAGGAGCTGGCCCGCGCTCGCGCCGCTGCTCTTGTCACCCTCACCAACGTACGCGAGGTACCGCTGGAGATGCACGGGGCCACGAGGGTCCCAGTCTTCTCCGTAGCCAGCCGTATACTGCGGGACCTGCCCGGATCCCAGTTGTGCAGCATCGTCAGCACCATGCGTGGCCGTCGCAATCGCATCGGCCAAGTCGGACTTCAAAAAATCGTGCAGCTATAGATGGGTCAGCGCGTCAACGAACGGTCGACAGCAATAGCGCGTACCTGGAGACTTCCGCTGGAACGAAACGATGATTGGATGTCGCCAATCGTGCGCATAGTGAGGTAGATCGGGTTCACAAAGGCACGGAGAAACGCCAGGTCGTCGCTCGTCAGTTGCGGATTCTGCACGATGCTATCCATGGGGAGTTCGTCGAATGGCGACACGTGCTGACGCAAAACAGAGAGTTGCTCTTGCGTGGCAGCGTCAACGCCGGCGGGCGCGACAGCCTAAACGCGACGATGAGCCTCTTGGCTTGGCACAGTCGTGGAAATGCACCTGGTGGAACCAGCCTTGGATGGAGAGACGGGGCTTCTCCGCATAGACTTCCTACGCGCGTGTGAGCACGACGACGCGAATAATGAAAGACAGAGAGAAATACCTGGACCGAGTGAAAGCTCACGCCGGGGATGACCGTGAAAAGCGCCATCGTGTTGTACGTGGGGAGAGCAAATGCCGTCGGAACCAAATCGGGCACGCGGTCGTTCGACGCCATCGACGGGTACAGTTCGAGGCTGCCACCGTCCGCGGCCGTCCAATCGTCGTCAGGGTCGCTGAGATAGATGACGTAGCTCACGCAGCGTGTGCCGATGACATCGTCGTGAGGCAAGAGATGACAGCCTTGCATGTACACGTTTGCGGCGCAGTCCACCTTGTCCGTCAGGGGCGGGCAGCCCGTGATCGACGTAATGTACTCGCGAAACTCCTTGCCATACTATGCACGCAACGTGAGCGAATTGAATCTGATGAGGGATACAGGATCGCGGTACGAGGGCGTCGCGCAGCTCAAGGAGCGCAGGCAGATGCTTTGCGATCTTGTCCGACGTCTTTAGGTTCCCGAGGTCGATTGTCTGGTAGAGCTTGAAAAGGTCCGTCTCCTTGAAGTTGCCCTCGAGGTGCGTAATGCACTCGTGATGCACCTGGGCCGCGTGAGGCTATGCATCCTGCACGAATATGCTACCTTGTTCATGTGCTCGCGCGTGCACAGCGCCGGGATCTGGTAGTGCGGATACGGCTTCGTCGTCGCGTAGGCCGCCTGGACCGCCGCGCGCGCGGCCGCAGACGACTGCAGCAGGTCTGGATGGAGGACCGACGTCTTCGCATCAACCTTGGCTTTCTTCGTCAGCGGCTCTAGAGTTGTCGAGGTAGCGTCCATGCAACCTCCATGCGACGACGTCTACCTCGTGCTTGGTCCGCCATTGAGTTCGGTGGCGTGGAATGAATATGGATGCGCGACACGTTAAAAACGTTTTTGTTTGTTGCTGAGCCAAATCTTGCCTTTTGTATACCTTTGACGCCATGCTAAATAAACGCATGCGTTTAAACGTCAAAAAGCGTGGTTTGTCGTGGCGCGACATGCGAGCACGCTGGCCGACAGCAGAATCTTCAGAAGCAACCGGCCGTGACTCCGCAGCCTGCGGTGACAACACTCATTTTGCAATTGGACCCTTCGCCCACGGCAGCTCGCTCCCATATTCGTCTCCAATGTCAAGCCTTGAGAAGCACGTGATGAACGACAGTGTCTTCCTCGTCGAAAAGCTCTCCGCTTCCTCTACACCAAGAGGGTCACAGTCGTGCTCGCAGTGCCAGCTAACGTTCCGTCTCCTACGACGATGGCGCTATGCCTGTAGCTTGGTACGAATTATGCTTACGCAATGACGTCAAAGCTCATTGTCGAGGGCGATTCTAGTGTGGTGGCGCCGTGTGTCGCCAGTGCCATCTCAAGGTTCACGTCAACGTTCTCGGCAAAGGGTGCCAGCGTATCCGCGCATGTGCCAAGTGCATCTCGACCTTTGACGGCGCCCGGGAGCACCGCATATCGTGCCGAACGCTCTTTTCGCCCCAAGATTTGTGTGGCGATGATGCTCATCGGTCACGAGAGTTTTTGTCATTGCAATAATACCGTAATTAAAATGCCATTGATGGACAAAGCTAACGGACAGCACTCTGGACTGCACAATGGTTCACACATGTTGGTGGCCATGAAACCAGGATCCCGTTGCAACATTATTGATCATGACAGTTCCATCTCAATTGCGAAGGTGCATCCGCGGCCTTGGAAGGGGTGCACAAGCTTGCAATTGTCGAGCACTGTACCCAGCATGATAATGTCGTGTAGCCTAGGATATACTAGTAGACCACCGTCGTTGTTGTTGAAGTGGGTCTTCTAATAGACCACCATCGTGATGATCGGTCGATAGCGCCATCACAACATCGTCAGCGCTTCTCAAAGCACCTCTGATAGGGGGGCCTACTAAAACGTCTCGACCGGGAATACCTCCGGGAAACGACCAATCGACTTGCGAAGTCTGGGATGGTCCGACGGATACCCTCTTCTGTCGCTTGTCGTTTCGCAGTGCGAACAGTCATGACGTCCATCTTTGACGCGGCCAAGGGAGCTCAGAAGCTCTTCCTCGTAAGCAGCAAGGCAGCGCCGCCTGCGATCTCGACGTGGGCCACTGCGAAGGGCATCGAGAGCACGGTTGCGGGCGGTCTCGATACGTCCTTCTTCCCGACGCTCACAACGCAGGAGCTTGGGCGCCACGTGCTCTACGCCGAGACGCTGCCCTCGACGCAAACGCTTCTGCAAGCGTCGACGCTGGAGCTGCGCCCGCTCGCGCCGGAGGATTTCCGCCTCGTGTGCTGGACGCCACTGCAATCGACGGGCCGTGGCCGCGGCGCCAACACGTGGGTCGCGCCTGAGGGCTGCCTCACCTTTTCGTACCAGAGCTTCTTCACGGACGGTCAGAGCCTTCCGTTCGTGCAGTACCTTGTGTCGCTCGCCGTCGTGCGCACCGCGCAGCATTTCGGCGCGTCGCGTGTTGCGATCAAGTGGCCCAACGACATTTACGTCGATGGCATGAAGATCGCCGGCGTCTTGTGCCAGTCCGAGTACTTTCAGGGCCGCTTCTGCCTCACGACAGGTGCAATATGGACCCTGTGTAGCGTTCGATGACATTGCGTAGGCATTGGCTTCAACATTAGCAACCCCGAGCCCACAACGTGCTTGAACAAGCTCGTGGGCAATGCCGTGACGCGGTACGATGGATGCGAAGCGGATACCGATCTGTCGACTGACTGCGTTTGTAGGGAGGCATTCATGGCGGCGTATTGCAACGTTTACGAGCCGATGGAAGCCGAGTTCCGGCGCACGGGCTTTGCGTCGTTTGAGCAGGACTACACCAACCATTGGCTCCACACGAACCAGCTCGTCAAGGTCCAAGGCGATCGCCCTGGCGAGCCGGAGATGGCGGCCACGATCCAAGGTATTGTATTTGGGATCATGTTGGGGGCGTTAAAGCGAACCCTCGTGTAGGGCTGTCGCCATCGGGATGCCTCCTTGCGACAAGCGACAGCGGACAGCGCTATGAGCTATACCCGGATGGCAATTCGTTTGACTTTTTCAAGGGTTTACTCAAGCGCAAGGTCTAATTGCAGTGCCGGTCACCCTTCTTCTTGGCGCGCAAGTCCAAGAGCTCCTCTCGTGACCGATTGGCGTCGGCCGTCTAGCATAGTCCATGTTAAGCCGTGCTTGAATGCATTCCGATTCGCAGTACGTACCTCCTTCATGATGGCGTATCCGCCATACACGCCGCTCTTCTTGACGCGGTACGTGTACTCACTGCCCGCTGTGGTGCCGCCCGCATACGTCCCAAAGGCGAAGCCTTCTTCGTCCGACTTGGACTTCTTCTTGGCGCGCTAGAATCGATTTGCGCATGAGAGAGTAGAGAGGCAAATGACGTGCTACCTCTTTTTGCTCCTTCTCGTCCTCGTCCGGAGGCGCCTTGATGTAGTGGAATGTAGTCGTGGATACAAGGTCCGAGCTGAACGCGGAGCTGATCGAGACAGAGACGTCACTGAGCACCATCTTGACGATGCGCGTCTCTTCTTGGAGACTCGTCGGGTGCATGATCATCATGGCATCGCCGACTGAGAGCTCGCTCGCGAAGCGTGTACCCATCTTGCCCATGACAGTGGTGCCAGACGTCAGGATACGCCCGGTGCCCTGGAGCTTCACGAGCTGGAAGTCGTCGCGGTCAGCGTCCGCGCCGTCCTCATCGTTGCTCTGCGCGGTCTCGGCCTTCCGCTTCTTCGTCTTTTTGGTTTTCCTAGCACACGTAGAGATAAGCATCTCCATGGCTACCTTCATGCGCATGTACTTGGCCGTTAGCGCGAGCCCGCCCTTGAGCTTTAGCTTCCCGCCCACGGTCTTCTTGTACTCGGACATCGCCGCCCGCTCGTCGTGTCCCCAGCTTCGATTGGCTTGTCTCGAATCTGCGTTGGATTTTTCAACGACATTGTTCCAAACACGCATTCGTCTACAATCACGCCACAAAACCATCGCCCATGGCAACATCCATCGGTTTGCCTTTGAATCTTGAGCTGCTTCTAGCATAAATGGACTCCACGTGATCAAGAGACCATTTTTATTGGAGTACATCGCGGGCCACGGCAGGCGTGAGCCCATACACGCCATGTCGAGTCTTTACGCGCGGTGTTTCTAGCTTAGATCTGTCAAAGTTGATTGACAGGACGAAACCAACGCAACTTGTACCTGCGATCAACCTGCAAGTATCCGGACGCATGGATCCTGGTCACATCCCCTTGTGCTCGTTGGAGCTTGCATCATCTGGCCACGGATGCACGAAAAGACAGGAACGATTGCGCGCCTCCGCGAGCAGCTTTTGCTAGAGACGCCGGAAGCGCGCCTCGTGGCCCTTGGGTTTTGCCAGCTTGGCCGGCTTGACGACACGATCGAAAAGTACGCGATCGCGAGGGACTGGGACGCGGACGCGACCTTGAGTGCGATGCGCAGCAGTATCGCGTGGCGCGTCGAGCAGGATGTGCCGTCGCTCATGGCTGGTCCGGCCTTGCCCAACGAAAAGCTCGAGGCCATTCGCCGCTTCAACGTACGTTGTCGTTCTCGGCCGTGAGGCCTCACCCATTGGATAGCCGCAAGGATTCCACGGAGAGGACAAGGATGGACGACTTGTCTACATTGAGCGCACGGGCTACTTGGACTGCGATGCGCTTCTCAAGGTCGTGACGCCCGATGACATTCTCAAGGCCCACGTGCAAAAGTGCGAGTATAAGCTCAACGTGCTCTTGCCCCGCCAGGTCCTTTCTCCGCGCCTTCGTGAGCTCATACACTGCGCAGGTGGTCGCGCGCGGCGCCGCTGCGTCCAAGATCGTACTCATTTACGACCTCGCCAACGTGGGCTTTAGCACGTTCAAGACGGACGTCTTCACCGCAATCCAGCGCATCACGAATATCAACCAAGGTAGATCCAACGTTTCTCCGGCAATGGGTGTTGACGTGATGATAACAGAGCACTACCCCGAGACGCTGCACAAGGTCTACATTGTGAACGCGCCCTTCTTCTTTTACGGCACGTACAAACTCATCGAGGTGTTTTTGAGCGACCGGATTCGCCACAAGATCGCCTTTGTTGGCCGCAAGGACGAGCTCCTCGCCGACATTCCTGCTACGTCGCTACCCACGTTCCTCGGCGGCAGCTGCAACTGCTTTCCGGGCCAGCCCCACGGTGCGTTGCGATCTCGTACCATCTATCGTTTGACGAACACTGGCGTAGGCGGCTGCGTCTCGTCGACCGCGTTCACGCAGACGCGCTACTTCTCGGCCCTCGATGCGCACTTTGAGGACTGAGGGAGAGAACGGTTTGCGTGTTCTGAAAGCAAATAGTGTAATATCGTCGATGGCGCCGGGGTCTAGTAGCGTCGCGTCCGTCTTGTCGGTGGTCCAGGCTAATTAGCCCATTCGTTCCACGTCTATTGGCAACATGCGGCATCACACACGGTGGCATCACTGCGACGTACCGGCAAAGACGGCGTCGAAGGTCAGGATGTTGTTTTGCTCAATGATGTCCGTGGGCAGGTCGTTCATTTCGTTCATGTCCTACGCGCACGCGGTCCATCGTGTCGTCTCGAGCATACAAGGCGTACGTGGATCGCGTCAAAGAGACCAATGAAGCGGGGCGTGGTCTCGCCTTCGTCCACAAGGAAGACCTGCGGGTACGAGCCCCGGACGCCGCTGATGCCAAAGAGCGCGTTCCGCCGGTCGACCATGTCCTCGGCCGACCCGTCGACCTCGTCGCGCTTGATCTTCTTGGCGTCCAGAAGCGCGTTGAGCGACGCGGTGTTGCTCTTGTTCTCCGCCGAAAAGCTCTGGTTGGAGACGAGCACGATGCACTTCTACGAGTCGCCGCGTGAGTGCGTCGGGTTCTACCGGCCACTACCTTCATGGTCGTCGTCTTCGGTGGCTGTCGGGTTTTCGTGTTTGAGTGACACCCACGAGCAGTCGGCGGTGTTTTAATTTATTACTCTCCCTGGCCGCTGCATTTTTATTCCAGCCACCACACCAACCTCTTGGATTTTGTAAGACAAAATCTAAAAACACGACATGCCACCCAAGCGGCTCGCGCAATAAAAATGACCAATCTGTCCCATCGCACATGGCGGACGTCGATCCATTGACAGGCGGGGAGCCCTCTTGGAGGACCCACATCGCACATACACCCTAAACAGCCTTGCTTGCACGCAACCAAGTAGATGATGCACGACGAGGAATACTTGGAGCGACAATGCACCGACATGGGCGGAGGTGCACTTTGAAAAATACGTCCAAAACGTCGAGCACGAACGAGCGTCCACGAGCTACGAGGGTACGGACGGATACTCGTACAATTGTATCGAAAATACATAACAACGACGCGTACTGTAGTGTTGGCCAGCGAGCCAAGGTGCGTACACCGGGGCTGCTTGAAGTGGCGAGCGAGTTGCGTGCGGCCAGCCTCGGCGCTTCTGATTGGTCCGCCGGCGATCCCTGGAAACCATTGGTCAATAATATCCAATAACGCTCGCAGCGGCGCCGGAATTAGCGGTCGTCCGAGATGGTGGTGGTGTCGCAGTCGAAGCGCCGGCTCCTTCTGCATGTGCTCCTTGAGCACTTTGGCGAGCACGTCGAGCACCTCGCGCGGGTCCTCCTCAAGGCCGACGACGACGGCTTCACACTGCGCGAGATCCTCCTGCACACGACCAAGGCCACGCCGTCGCAGCTCAAGGCCGGCCTCCTAAAGATGCTCCAGCACAACATGCTCGACATCAAGTCTCACTGGGCCAACGTCAATCATGCGCACAAGAAGACGGCGCAGACCAAGCAGCCCTACACGCTTCGGTATACGCTCAACCACGACGAGGTGCTCCGGCGTCTCCGCTTTGCACGCTACATTGAGCTCGCCAACTCGGTCTTTGGCGAAGAGGTATTGATCCACAATCGTACCACTTGGCTCAGGGAGGTGTTGCGTAGGGCGCGATCATTATGGAGGAGCTCTTGGTCTGTGGCCGCCTCCGCCTCGACCAGTCGATCGAGGCCATGGCGTTCAACCTTGCCCAGGCGCGCCGCGCCGCCGATGGCAACTCGGAAGGCGATGGTACCACTACTCTATAACCTGCTCTTTGTCGCCTCATGCACGGTGTGCAGTGGACGCGGACGAGCTTGACGACCTCAAGGCAACGCTTCGGTCGACCTTTCTCGAGATGGCCAAGAACCGCTACATCGTACGCGTGCACCCGCTCGACCTCAACAACAAGCAGGCGGACGATCCGTTTGCAGACGAAGCCGAGGTTGCGTTCGAGAAGCTCGCGGCGGCAGCGTCGTCGCCGTCCTCGTCGGCCAAGGCCACGCCCAAGCCAAAAGCGAAAAAGTCGTCGGCCGACACGGTCGAGCTGGACGACGGGTTCTCGGTGCGCCGTGGCACGAAACGCAAGGCCAAGGCGCCACCGAAGGACGTCGTTCCGATCGAAGTGCAGCTCATGATGCAGGCAGAAGAGGCCGAGGCGTCGACACCTCCGGCTGCGACCAGTGCACCCGTCTCGTCAGGCGGTCGTCGCCGTCGGAAGGAGGCCAAGCTGCCGTCGACTCCGACGTCGCTTCTCGACAACGGCCAGGGCGACGACGTGAGCTTGAAGGAGAAAATGCAATCTGGCGCGCCGGCGTTCCGCAGCTGACGCGCGAGCTGCGCCACCGCGCTTGCATCAAGTTTGCGAAAGAGAGCGTCAACGACGTGGCCGAGGTGATCGTGCAAGCCATGCTGCACGCGTCGTCGCCGCACGAGCGCGGTGAGGCCGAGCCGACGTCATTCCCAATGACCGCGCGGGACCTTTTCAAGGTGCCGTCCGTCGACGCGGTGATTCCGCAGACGTCGCGCGACCGCTGGAAGCTCCTCCTCAACTACCTCACGGCCATGTGCCAGCATCCGTCGGGCATGCTCACCAAGACCGCCCCCGAGGCATTTACCGCCAACAAGACGGGCGACGGCGGCACGTACGCCGTGCACATGCAGAAGATCGTGTCGACGCTGGAGCGCAAGACAGTCCACGCGTTCGTGCAAGACACGTACGGCACGGCGAGTGCGCGCATCCTCCGCGTCGTGTACGAGCAGCGCCAGGCCGAGGAGAAGACGATCGGCGAGCTCGCGCTCCTGCCGGCGAGCGAGACGCGCAGCCGACTCTTTGGGCTCTTCCAAGCCAAGCTGATTCAGATGCAGGAGATCCCCAAGCGCGCCGACTACAACCCGCAGTACACGCTCTACTGCTGGTCCGTGGACCACAAGGCGCTCATTCGGCGCCTCGTCGAGCGCATTGAAGTCTCGCTCGTGCATTTGCGGACGCGACGCCAGCGCGAGGCCGACGAGCACAAGGATCTGATTGCGCGCTCGGACCAGCTCGTGGAGCAGCACGACCTCGATCGGTTCGACCGCGTCTGCCGGTCCCTCGACCGGTTTGACCGACTCGTGCTCCAGTTGGACCGGATGCTGCTTCTTTGTGCCACTTTTAGATATAATTCCTTTCGCAGTTAGTACACTTCGATCGACGCTGCTATTATGTAACGAGTGCTCCAACCAGTCGCGACCTCGCGCTGGCCAAAGAAACATCTCGCCCCCACATCTCCATCCACTCGCAAGAGGTCCCAACCATTCGGCGTGACGAAGAGACAGATCGGCGGGTTACCCTTGGTAACCGCTACGTAGACGTATTCTCGCACCTGTACACAAGACAATACTTTAGGAGATCGCACTTGATTATTTACTACAACAACACCCCACAAGGATAGTAGACCTCTCTACGTGGACGCTCTAAAAAGTACTAGTACACACTATACGACGCTTCTTCGTCGCCATCGACTCTTCTTACTGCAGCCGCAGGGAATGGTGGAGGCTCCGAGTGTGGCCTTCCTGGACCTCCATGCGCACCTCCATGCGCGCAAGGCCCACCGCAAGGTGGTCGATGCGGTGCGCGTGGTCGTGGAGCGTCTGCGACATGTTGATCTGCTGCGTCGCGAGCTGGTGCTGCGTCTGCGTCGTTTGGCTCAGCAAATTCATGAGCAGGTTCTCGAGGCGGCTCTCGCTCGTGCTGCCCGGCGCCGGCGGGGCCAAGTCCATGTTGAGCCCGATTGTGAGTGCGTTCTGGGCCGCGACGGCTGGCGGCGGCGTCGCCGCCTTGCCGTCGAGCCCGGTCTTGGCGTTCGGGAAGACGCGCGCGGGCCCGTCGAGGCTATCGTCGCTGCTGCGCGTCGGGTCCGTCGAGCTCGTCGAGCTCCGGCGCACGGGCGGCGCCATTTCCGGCGTCTGCGCGCCCACGAGGTTCTCCATTGCGACGTTGGCGAGCTTCTCGAGGATCGTGGCGTCGCACGACGTGCGCGGCTGCACGTCGAGGACGAAGACCGTGCCGAGAACCTGCCCCGTCCGGTGCTCGCAGATCGGCGCGCTTGCGTAGAAGCGCACGGACGCAGCGCCCGTCACGAGCGGGTTGGACCGGAAGCGCGGGTCGAGGAGCGTGTCCAGCGCCACAAGCGGGTCCTTGGAGACAATGGCGTGCGCACAGAACGCCACGTGGCGAGGAATCGACTTTTGCGCGAGACCGACGCTGGCCTTGAACCACTGGCGACTGCCGTCGATGAAGCTTACAGCAGCCATCGGGCACTGCAGGCGCTCCGCCGCCATGGCGCAGATGCGGTCAAACACGATCTGCGGCTGCGTGTCGAGGATCTTGACCGAGTCGAGCGCGTCGAGGCGCGAGCTCTCGTCGCGCGGCATCGGCGGCCGCGGCCACGCGTGCTCCCAGTTGAAGTCGAGCTCGTAGTCCAAGGCAGGGCTCGCCATCGTCGTGGCGTTCTGCTGGTAATGGTACTGGCCGTCGCTGCTGTCGTCGCGGGACTTGGTGACTGGCGACTGAAGCTGGTTGACCATCCACCGGCGCTGGGACTCGTCGGACGACGACGGGAGCGACGTCATGATGGGCGGTGGCACCGACGTGCGGCCGTTGCCAAGCGTCACGATGCACGAGAGACAGACGCGGACGTTCATGGTCCCGACGGACGAGATGAAGACGTTCTTGTGCAAGGTGCAGTTGCCGCAGACGACTTCGCCACACTAGACAGACATGAGCGGCCGATCATCGATCGGAAGTCGGATCTGTACCATGCGGCAGTGGTGCTTGCGCCGAAACGTGTTAAAGTTGCGCGTGCACACGGGGCAGAGCGACCGCTCGTAGTCGTTGACCCAGTCCTCAGCGGGCAGGAGCTGGTCGACCTCAAGCATCTCAAGCGCCGGGTTGTTCGTCGTCGTCGCGCGCTGCGATGGCATGTCTGGCTGGCGAAAGGCAAAATGAGCTCAGCAAGCATGGTACCAGTATACGGCGACCTATCTCCCACACGCCACAACAGAAAAATCCGAGTCTCCGGTTTTTCGAAGCTGAAGATGAGAAGCATTGTTTTGAGTTTCAGTACCATGTGAAACTCAAATGGATGCGTTTTGGAGATGGCGATGGCACTTATGGTTCGCTTTGAGCCATGTCCAAGCGACCGCCACGCAGCCTCGGGGCTCAATTGAGGCCCATACGCGTAGTATAGCTTTGCGTGTGGGCACTTAGAGCGGGCGGCGTCGTAATTCGTGCGCGTTGGATTGTAACTCGAGCGCGTCGTGGGTGCGATAGGTGGTACGCCATGGTTTCACGCGGGTTGCTTTGCACTGCTAGCGCGCTTGACACAGTGTCCATCGCTCCGGCACTGAACGCTGCATGCACCTCCCCCTCGACCATCAAGACAGCACGACGTCCCACGGACCGTCTTCTCAATCCTGAGGTTGCGTGGTTTTTTGTTGAGTTTGAGTGGTCGACGGACGCCACGTCCGTTGCCACTGGGACATGGTCTTTTGGTACTAATACCAGCTTGATGCGTTCGTTATCGATGCGTGCCGTCTATACCAGCTGGGTCTTGTGTGTACCGTACTATTAGCACGGGCCGCGAATCTCGGCAACACGAGGCGCCGGCGCTGCTTCCATCGCTCGGGCAACATCATCAACCAGCAGCAGTATCAATTGGCACAGTTTAGATCTTTGTACGTGTTATGTGGCCAGCGTCTGCTACATATCGCGCCGATCAGGTTGGTGGCCGCTCGTGTCGGTCATGAGCCCTATCCCGGGTGCATGGCAAGGAACGTCCAGCGAGAGTAATGCTGGCACCTCGGCAGCACATCATCGAGGTGACATAAACATGATCTGTCGACGCCAACCGGTACCAATACGCGTATCATGGTTGACACGACGCTGTCAGCTGTCTGTCGCCTGGAAAACGTAGGGTGTTTTCAGTGTTATTATATAGACACGCACATTATTGTACGTATTCGTACCGCGCACATAGCAAAGACCAATCGTTTGCGGCCGTTTGAACTATTGCCCGAGAATCTTGATGAGCGCTGTCTTTTGAAGCGTCGTGAGGTACTTGGGGAAGAGAATCTCGAATTGAAGGACGAGGTCGCCGCGACCATTCTCCGTGTCGGGAATCGGCATGCCTTCGCCCTTGATGCGCTTTTCCGACTTGGGCGCAATCACCTCGTTGCAGCTAATGGGGAGCTGGCGCCCGTCCAGCGTGGGCACTTGGACGCAGCAGTCAGCGAGCGCATCCGCCAACTTGATCTTGGCGACATAGAGGAGATCGTGCTTGGCGCGGCGAAACGTCGGATGGGGTGCTTCGATGATGGAGAAGACGACGTCACCGGCGCTGAGCTCCTTCGTTTCGGTGCCTTCGCCTTCGAACGTCACCTTGGTACCGGCTGCCCACCCTGGCTGCACCTTGATGAAGAAGACCTTGATTTCTTCCTTGAGGTGTGGGCCGTGAAACCGGACGCGCGAGACCGACACCTTCTTGGTCGCGCCGCCGTGGAAGAGCTCGTCCAACGTGCACTCGACGTCGCGGGCAATCGACGGGCACTTCTCCGGACCCTTCTTCTTGAGCGCGCTCGAGAAGGGCAGCGTGTCGCCAAAACCAAAGTCGCTGAACGGGTTGTTCGAGCCAAAAAACTTTGCGAAAATGTCCTCCGCCTGCCGGTCGTTAAAGCTGTAGCCGTCGCGCGCGTCGCCGTCCGCGTTGGGCACGCCGTTGCGTAGACCGTCGTAGCCGTGCTGGTCAAAGACCGCGCGCTTCTCGGGATCGCTCAAGACGTCATAGGCCTCGGAGATTTCATGGAATTTGTTTTGAGCTTCGTCGCGGTTGGCCTTGTTCTTGTCCGGGTGCCACTTCATGGCGAGCTTGCGGTACCTACGCGTTGATTCTGAGTGCTGAGAGCATTCTCGGAGGAGGAGGCAGCCTACGCTTTCTTGATGTCTTGGTCCGACGCACCGCGAACAACGCCCAAGATCTCATAGTAGTCCATCGTTGCTGCTGGCACTCGGCGCGCTTGCGTCTGACGAGGGGTTTCGCCGTCTATTGTGGCTTGATACGAAGCCGTTTCAGACGCCGAAGGGTCCCATCAAGGGCTTGTGCAGAAAAGGACAAAGTAGAAAACCTTGCTAGGATACAACCTGTTTGACGTCGTGCGCTCTCCCTTTGTGTGTCTTGTCCGAATTTTCCCGTGCTGTCGAGCGGAATCTTTAGCAAAGGAGCTGGCCATCTCGACTTGCGCGATTAGCGCCATAAACAATTACATGCTCGTAGGTCGCAAGCGGTGATGCCACGTTCGTCTACCTATATACTGACACCGCTTTATACTATCATCGCAAGAAGGCCGCCGTGTACCGTACAAGTACCCGTAGTTGAAATGCGTCAAGATATGGCATCGAATATAAAAAGACTTGTGTATTATTTGCTGGAGGTTGAGAAATATCTACCTGGAGAATGAAAATGGCCACGATTAAATCGTAGGTATGGTCGAAGCGCACTAACTAAAGTATCTCGCAGGGTCACGCTCATCCGCACCAATCTTTCGCCTTTTACTAAAGATTGCCGTGGGCATGTCTCATACAATGCGACTTCACAATTTATGACCTCCCTCTGGGAGGACCTTTTTTCCTCTGCTCGTCGAACAAACTCCTTCAAATTCTAGATCCTCTTTCTAGTACTCTTTATCTACCAATTTGTGTCTCATCTACTGTGTACCTTACTAGTATTGTTTAAAGACGGTGTGAATACAGCACGGTCTACGCTGCCAACAACAGGTCCCTCCACGGCCGCGTGGTCAGCGTGCGCCAACAATACATAGCACGACATCGACACAAGAGCGTTCCCAAGCGAGTCGTGTCAAAAGAGGGGTAGTAGCGCTACTGGGCGACCCATATCGCCGTGACTGGAACTGCATAGGGCGAGATCTGCTGCGGCTTCGAAAAGGGCGGCGCAACATTGTTTGGCGAAAAAGCTAAAACGATTGTACTAAATGCATACATGATACTACTCGCCACCTTCTCAAGCCCCAACGCCTGTGCACAGTGCACAGTACGGCGCCGGGGTTCGAGGCCGGTGTCTTTGATATTTCGCAAATCGACAACCCTATTAATTTTGGCGTGCGCCATAACTAGTCACAAATAACCACGTCTGGATCGGCGCGCAGGGCCCGCGGGCGGTCAGCTACCAAATCACGCCGAAAAATGAAATCGCTCATACTTACTACAGTGATAGAAGACACTCAGGAGAGTCCAAAATGCGTTGTGGCGTCGGCGTTCGAGCCCTGCAGCTCGAGCAATCGACCAAACACACCTCGTCCGGAAGTATCCGGAATTCGAGCCAATCAGATAGGACGTTGCCTGGGGCTGTGTGCCTGTGTATGAAGTCTGCAGTTTGCAGACTCGGACATTGAACACATACTAGTAAATTGAGAACGCATTCCTCGTTTCTCTAGTTGCGCTTATAGACCTTGTTGTACAGCGCTGCGAGACCGATGAGGCGATAGAGCGCGATGATCCAGAGGAGGAAGATGTCGTCGAATGGTCATTGAGCGAGAGGCTCTGGAGCACATCAACACCGTTCGAGGCGTTGCACTTTGCCCGCTTCGCACGGAATCGAATGGATCGTGTTTCAGAAAGCACGGCTCATGCCACGAAACCGTACTTGAGTGGCATGAGGAATTCGGCCCATTTAAAGTAGACGGGAATGTCGTCCGAGTTGAGGAAGAGGCTGCCAAAAATGACACACGGCAGCAAGAGCAGGATGCCGAGGATGTTGGCAACGTCCGCATTCTTGTCGACGCATGACACCATGTAGCCGAGCGCCGTCGCGACGCTCGTGATGAGCGCGATGAACACGTACATGGAGAAGAGAGTGTCGCATTCGAGGCGCCAAAGCCGACCATCAAGTAGACTGACAAAGGGCAACTGGAAAACGATTTGGAATGCGAGCTCGCTAACGTTCTTGGCGAGGTACCACACCCACGCGTGGTACATGCCCGAGTCGTACTCGCGCTGCATGAGCGGGAGCTCCGTGGGCACCGCGACGAATTCGGGCGTCGCGGCGCCAAACATTTGGTTGGTCGAGACGAAGAAGAGCGCGCCTGTGAACGACTGGACGCTGGTTTGCGAGAGCTGAAGCTGCCAAAAGATGAGGCTCGCAAAGACCGACGTAAAAATGGTCTGCCCAACGCGCGCACCGAACGCGATCTTGTCGCGAACGAGCCGCGTCACGTTGCGCTTGCAGAGCACGCGGAGCTGACCGGCGAGCCCGAGGTGCGTTGCTTCGTACGTCGCACTGTCGTTCGTCGCCCCGAGCATGCCATCGAGGTCGAATTTCGTGTCGGCCAACTGGAGCTTCGACGCCTTGACCAGCGACGATCTGCTTCATGAAATAGTCGGGTGGGTTCATGAGACCGAGTAGAGGATGTCAAAGAGTGGGTAGAGCTCGGACGACGGCTGGTGGATCGTCGCAATGACTGTACGACCTTCGCGCGCGAGCTTTTGGAGCTGCAGAACGACCGACTCGGCCATGACCGAATCAAGACCCGAGGTCGGCTCGTCCGCAAAGAGGAGCGATGGGTTGGTCAGAATCTCCGTCGCGAAACTTAAAAAGTGCTTGCCCATGCGGAGCTCGGCTTGGAAGAAAACGTGCTCTTCGACCGTGAGCGTTGCGTAAAAGATATCGTCTTGTATGACGTACGACGTCTGCTTGGCCGTCGCCTTGGACCAGCGCGCGCCGTTGACGAGCACGGACCCCGACGTCGACCCATGTCGAGGAGCGACGACTTGCCGGCGCCGGACGGACCCATGAGCGCGACAAACTCGCCGGCCATCGCTGACCCGCTCACGTCGTTGAGAACAACCTTGTCGACGCTTCTCTTGGCGCCCGGTGGCTTGACCTGCACCGTCGTTATGATATGGCGCCACTCGAGGTTCAGTTCGGCACGTCGAGCAGCAGCCTGTCCCGCTGACGCGGGCCATATCGACGTAGACTTGGTTGTTGTTGCTGCTTATGCCTGGCCAAGGACATTGGAAATGAGGTCGTTCGACACGCTCTCAACGCGATGACGGCCACGTCGCGATGCCTGGAGTAGGATCGCAGATGGGAGGGGTAGGGTCCCTTGATACGCGCTGATGATTGGCTGGCATAATGTTACACGACATCACATGCGCTTTCGGACACTCGGCGGTCCGTACGATGACGGGCGCGTTGCAGGCTGCAACGTGGGTCCCTCGATGTCGCGCTTACCGACATTCTTGGTCCGCTAATCGAGCCATGTTGTCCGGAGAATCAAGCCCTTGTCGTCGTTGATGCGATGATTGCCTCGCGCATTCAGCTTGGAACGACTTGGGCACGACAACAATCGGAGCATCGAAGGTGTCGTGGGCGCGCATCCTCCTCGATCCAAAACCATCGCGAGGATCGAACGAGGCCTCGCGATCTGACTCTCTTCCAAAACCAAGTCCATCCTAAATAGTCTTTCAACGACAAAGGCAGAAATGGTTGGCTCACGCGGTCGATCCCTGTACTGCCACCAAGGAGCGTGCAAGTGACTGTGTGGGGTCCTGCTGTCTGAGCCCCGTTGACAGGCAAAGATTTGAAGAGCGTACGGGCCTTCTAGTCTTGCTTGTCGAGCCAGCAGCAGCATTGACACAAGTGCACGACACAAAATACCAATGATGGCTATTCGTTCTCGAGGCGCATGTAGCCGTCGTTGGCGTCGTCCCGCGGCAGCAGCGGCGACGTCGTCAAGCACGCGTCGACGTCGGCGGCATCTGCCAACGGCACTTGGCTCAGCTGAAACTGGAGGCTCGCGGGCTTCTGGGGCGGCGGCGACGGCAGCGGCACGGGTTTGGACGGGTGCTGCACGAGGTAGTAGACGCCCATTGAGATGCAGAGCAGTGCCGTTGGGTACAGCACCCACTTTTCGGTCGTGAACGTCTGTGCGGTGCCGTAAAAGACGATACCGCCAATGACGCTAAACGAAATCCAAAAGGCTTGGAAGACCGGGAAGACGGTCATCGTGTCGCCGAGCGACGTGGCCATGTTGAGCAGATGCGTTTGCACGAGGATACAGAGCACCATGCCACCGATAAAGACGTACGTGAGCGGGTACTTGAACTGGTTGTCGCCTTGGAACGTCAGCGAAAGCATGATGGCCGAGCACTTTGCGAGCAGCACCGAGATGGCGCCGACGATGCCCGAGCAGATGGCGTAGTAGAACGGCACGCGCGGGTCCGCGGTCGAGCCCGGCGTCGGGTCGGAGATCGTGTACGGCTCGCGGGCCCGCCGCTGTGTGCGTAAATGCTGGTGCAGCGACGAGACGTGGCCAGAGTCGGGCGGCCCGTGGCGCTCGTAGTCGGCGAGGAGCTGCTCTTCGAGCGCTTCCATGCGCCGCTCCAAGTCCTGGAAGCGCGCTTCGTTGTTCTAGAGAAAATGCTCTCATTGTCATCGAGGTGTCCGACGACTTACTACCTTGAGGATCTGTTTCTGGCGCTGGTGCGACCAGCGGATCTGGTTCTTGAGCGTGTGAGCGAGCGAGCCTTTGATCTTGGCCAGCATGCACACGACCGAGATGACAACGCACGTAATGTACACGACGAAACCTACCGAAGATGCGTCGCCTGCGCTATCATCAGCACCGTCATACCTTGGCGTGTAAAGAGCTTTTCAAGCTCGTCGAGCGGATACGTCTTGTCTTCGTCCGAGATGACGGCGATGAGCACGACGCCGACGATGACCCAAATGACGCCAATGATGTCGGTCTTGTAGAGCGTCTCTTTGTTCATGTAGTGCGCGATGACGACGTTCGCGATGAGCGTCGAGCCGCCGCCAAGCGCCGCGACGAGGGCCTGCGTCGCAAAGACAAAGGCCGTAAAGTCGCCGATGCTGCCCGCGATGACCATGAGCAGCCCGAGCCACCAAACCGGCCGGTGGATGTACGCGCGCTGGCTCGCCTCTGGCCGCAGGGCCTCGGACGCATGCGAGTACTTCTGCACGTTCACGCCGAGGTTGGAGATCACAGAGGCGATGACGGCCATGATCGCACCGACAAAGTCCTGGTGCGCTGCCATCGTCCTACTGCCTGCCAGGCCCGATATCTTTTCGCGAACAAGCTGTGGCACGGTATCCGGACATCCGGAAACGCAAGATTCAGTCCGCGACCTTCCACCGACGCACGGACAGCGACGTAAACAGCCCCATCAGCGGATCGATAGTATCGCACGCAACGCCATTCGGACAATACTGCGCATAGGTTCAGCCACGATCGCATTTCGTGAGCTCAATGCGTCTATGAACCCACGTCAAGCTGTCTTTGGCCCCGCCCAAATCGTCGAAAAAATAAATTGCAGCATCGCGAGCAAGGGAATTAAGAACAAGTTGCCTTGACCTCGAGACAGCGCATTTCGTGCTGTCCCGCTCTGGTTTTCTAGTTTTAGCGCTTGAGACGAGTGCTGCAACTCGATGGAAGCCGGACGCACACCGGTAGTTCAAGCACCTTGCGCTTGCAGCCAGCGTTGTTGGGCCCACCACCAGAAGAACAGAGTGTTTCAACGCTAGTATATATATACACTCTCAATTCAAAGGATCTCGAACCACACAACGGCACCGCAGATGTCACCGCACCTTGATAACGTCCGTCAACGCTGCCATGAAACCCCTACTGAACTTTGGTTTCGAGGCTAATGCCATTCCGTGCCGAGTCCATGTCCAGAGTCAAGTCGCCGCGCCGCGGAACGACAAGGACAGACAAACATACGAGTGTAGCTTGCCGCTATGCCTCGGCGCCGCTGCTCAGCGAGAGTCGGTCACAGCTCGAGGTCCCGCCAACGCCACAGCTTTTGCATGGCTCGACCAAGGCGGGGTACCTCACCAAGCACAACACGGGCAAATGGATGCGTCGGCGGTGGCACCAGCGCTGGTTCGTGCTTGAGAATGGCGTGCTCTCGTACTACAAGTACCGCGACCGCGCGTATGCCCAAGGCGCGTTGCAATTGCACGGGACCGGGGCCCTCTTGACGATCCAGGGGGACCTCCCCCCGGGCACGCCAACACCGTTCTGCTTCAACATCTCGGTTGGCGTCAAGTCGCTCCTTGTGTGCGCCGAGTCGGACGACGATTTTCGTGAGTGGACCAATGCCATCTCCGCCACGATTGGTCAAGAAAGCGCATCCTTGGATGTCGCCGTGAGCGCGCCACCACCCCGCCCCACCGTACTCTCTCTGCCTCTTCCTTGGCCATGCATCGATATCGCTGCGATTCTAGGCCCTCAACAACTATGTCGAGGCCGTGCCTTCCTGGGACGCGTTTGCGTTGCCACCAATAAGTCTCGGCTCGCTCGCCAGTGCCAACCTTCTCATCGGTAGTACATTGACCGAATGGCGTGCTCTCATGCAGTGGCGACGTAGCGCTGATTCGGTACGGCAACGCCGCGACGCTCTTGGGGGTTCTTGGGCTGCTCAACGCAGCGTGTGTTTACTGGTTTTACCAAACTCGCATCGGCGCGACGTCTCCGAACCCAAAGCAACCGCTAAGCGACGGTCCACCTTGCCCAGCACTCGCGCCGACGATCGAGACTGTGCCAAAGGCCCCGATCTTGGGCACCATCAATGGTTGGTAGTGTAAAAGCTATGGTATCTTCAAGGGCCGTACTAGGCAACAAGGCGAATGCCGGCTGCTCGTTGCCGCAGTGCGCGGCCGACGACTGTGTGCCGGGGTCGTGGGCCATCTTGGACGCGACGCGCTTTAACCTTCGCCTCGGTGCGTACTGCAATTTTGCGCCCATTTGGGAACCACATTTGTGGTAGGCCCCCAGTACCGGAAAACAAAACGCAAGGGCCCGTCGGCCCCAGCGCTACTGGACCTTGTCGCGACGGACGTGTACCGCGTACGAACCTGTTCCATTCTGGTATCTCTTCTTGACGCACTAGCAAAAAACCTAGTCGGACACGAAGATCGACAACATCGGCAACATTGTGCAGCTTCCGATGCGCCCGTCGACGTCCACGTACTTGCAACTCGCCTGATAAAATCCTCAAGTTGTCTTCGCAGACGCGACTTGCTCATCATCAATTGCCAAGTGCCTTGCTACGCTCCGTCCAATCCTTTGGTACTACTACCTACTGTACATCCAACCTGCGAATCCATCTCGTTTGCAGTGGGGTGAAAACAAGGGGACGGCGATGGCTTCAACTTTGTGACGTACTATGCTATCCCCGAGGCTGTTCGGGACAAGCTGCAAATGGAACCGCCGTGCATCGAGCCCGCCATTCGTGTACGTCCCTATCCATGGCAATCTGTATCTCTACTACCTCGCAAGTAGCTCTTGCGTGCATTTCTGGACGACGGCAACGACCCAATCATCGTAGTCATCGATACCCCGCATACCGTCCAATCAGTCGCTGCTTTTGTAGCGCGACCGCCTCAAGGCGATCGGTATCGTCGTCAACCCGGCCGAGCAAGCGCTCGGTCGAACCGTGCGTGGCCCAATGCACGGGCTGTACATCGATGTCGCATGTATAGGAGCGGCACTTGCTCGAGACGTACAATGGACAGCCCATCTTGACGCGACCACAGCACCGGTTCTACCGCGGCGACGGGTACTTTGAGGTCGACATTGACGCGCACTTGTTCAACTACGTGGCGCGCAAGGGGCTCTGCGGTGTGACTGACCACTTTGGCAACATGGTGGTAGACTTTGGCTTCGTTCTCGAGGGCCAGGAGGACGACGAGCTGCCCGAGCAAATCCTTGGCTGCGTTCGGCTTTGCAAAGTTGACGTCAAGACGGCCCCGACCATGTCCTGAGACCCCATTCCGCGACGTCGACCATTCGATGAGACGTCAATGTATCTGAATGAAACCTCAAGTGTCCCAATGGATTGGCCTCAAACGCACGCAGAGTACCAGCAACTGTTTTCGAGGGCATCGAAGTCGCGTTGCGGTGGGATGCGAGCTTCCGCACCTCAAACCACTGCACGCCGACCGCGGAACCATCCACGCATATGTCCGACATTGACGGCTTGTCTGTCCGTGTGCCACGTCATTTGGACCGAACTGCATGTCGCAGATACGAAACGGCGCGACCAATTGGAAGATCTTGCGATGGGGAAAGACGCGACGGTCTTTGCCGAGGCCGACGCGCACGAGGCTGCAAGCAAGCGCGCAGAAGAGGAAGGTCGGGCGCTCGATGGCTACACCTTTATCCCGCCGCCGCTGCGCCGCCACTTTAAGCGCGCGCGGGGCGTCCAGCGCTCCAACCAGGCCGACGCGCTCGTGTCGTCGGACCCGCGCGCCATTACGCTTGCGCGGTACGCTCGCACGGCGCGCCTCTTGCAGCACGCGACCCCCGAATTCCACGCACACTTGTACCCGTCCGAGGTCGAGGACTTTATCTTCACGCAGGTGAGCTACGAGCGCGCGCTCGCCAAGCTCCGTTTGCTCGAGCAAGGCGGTGCCTCGTGGACCGTCGTCCAGCTGCAACGACAAGTGATTAATCTTGTCGACACGTGCTTGAAAGGCCTTTGCGACGTGTACCTTGGCCTGCTCCAGCCCAAGCGATCGACACTCTTATTCACCGCCGCGTCGCCCCGAAGCAACATGCTCGGCAAGAGCCTTCCGAGCGGCAAGGGCATTTCATTTCATGCGATCGACGACGACGTACGCATGGCACGCATGCGTGATCGTACAATATTGTTGTTTAGGACATTGTGGTGTGCGATGACATTGCGACCGACGATGCGATCGAAAGCTTTGGCCCGCACCGATGCGGTCCTTTTGCGGCGCTCCCGCTTCCCGGCCGACTGTGCGGCGCCCGCTGCCCCATCGGCGTCCTCGCCGTCGACGCAACCCGGTGCGCGTGGCAGAGCCACCCGGGCGCCATGACCGTGCTCGACGTCCTTGCCTTCCTGCGCACGTATGGCCTCGACGACGTGGTGCCCACGTTTCAAAAGCACGAGATTGACGGTCCGTCGCTATTGGCACTCAAAGACCTCAACCTCGAGTTCACGCTGGGCGTCTACCGCGTGCACACACGGACCAAGCTGCTGTCGCTCATCGAGGGTCTCAACGCCGGCCTTCCGCTGCACCTTCCGGAGACACCAGCGCGCTTTGTCGACGCGCCCGAGACGATGCAGTTTCTCACCCGCGTCGCCGATATGGCCGGCCCGCTCCTTGCGTGCGCGCGCCGACGGGAGTGGCATGGGCGCTTAAAAGAGGCGACCAAGGACGGCACGTGCACGCAGTACGATCTGTACCACATTGTGATCCAGGCGCTGCTCCACTGCGTTCTCAACATCACGGGTGTTGCGATCTGGCGCGTGCTGCTGTCGCCCATGGAGCTTCTTAAGTCGACAGTGGTGCTTCTAGGCGCGTGCGACGTGCCGTCGGACCGCTTGGCGCCGTTCGTGCATTGCAGCGAGAAGGCCATGAAGCGCGTCCCGCTCTTTAAAGAAACATCCTCGTCCCTGCTGCGGGGCAATATTGTGCACGTGGCGCCGGCACTCGGGCCGAAAGAAGCCACGACGTACTCGGTCTCGTGGAGCAATCGCGCCGTCGAAGACGTGAATTGGCACACGCTGAGTCGACTACTGCCGGTGCGCTTGCTCAACACCCAGCACTTTCAGCTCCAAGGCGTCCTCGCCGGCCTCGACGCCAACAGCGGTGATTTTCTCGTGCCATTTCCGGCCCAATCGACCAAAGTCTGGGTGCAGCCCTTTGCGGACGAGCCCAAGTTCAAGTATGTCATCGTGACGACGCTCCATGAAGCCGCTGACATCTCGGACGCAGTGACCTTCCTCTCGCAGCTCCTACCCGAGTTGGACACGACGCTGCGCTGCGTGCGCGGACGCCAGAGGCGCCATCTGCAGCGAACGGAAGCGGTTGCGCGTCTGCGGCAGTGGACGGCCGCGCTCGCAATGACGCCGTCTCCCGACGCCTTGAGAGCACTGGACGAGCTACTCGGTCGCATGGCCGACGAGGTACAGCTCTGCCTTCCTGGCACACAGAGTGCCGTTTGGGAGTTGACGCCCTCGGCCAAGTCATTGCGCTGTACGTTCGCGTACCACGGCGGCGCTCATCTCGTCGGCTTGGAGTTGGACGTGCACGCTGCGGAAATCGCCGACTGCTTGAGCTCCCGGTCGCCGATAATTCTGCGCTCGGTAGCGCGGCTGAGTTTTCTGCAAGACGAAGCGATGCTACCCGTCGTGCTATTGCCCCTCCTCCACGACGACGCCCTCGTTGGCGTGCTCGTTGTCTTTGATTTTCGCTCGGTCGAGAAAGGCAGAACCGACGAGAGCCACCCCGAGCATGGTGTGATGCCATTTCTGGAAGTGGCTGCCCGCGGCATGGCCGCCGCGCTCCGGCTCAAGCGCCGCGCCGCGCGCCTGCACGCGCTCGCCAACATTGTCGACGCCGACGCGTTTGCAGCGCCCGCGCAGGTCTTTGCCTCGGCGCTGCAGTGCCTTCAGTCGTCGCTCCTCGGCGTCCTCAAGGCCCGGCTTCTCGTCATCCGGAAGAGCGACGGCAAGCCCACTGTGGTGGCCGACACCAACGATGTCACGCACTGGCCGCAACTCGACCTGGCGTACGTCGAGGGCGCCCGTGTCCGCCTGCGCGAGCTCCGATGGTCCACATTTCAGACGTACCACCAACTCGACGACGCGACGCTGGCTGCCATCGTGACGCGCGTGACGTCATCGCCGAGTCTCTTGAGCAAGTCGCTTTGCAGCGCGGATGTCAAGTACGTCGAGACGCTGTCCGAGCCGCCGGCGCCGATCGAGTCGAGCAAGAACCTGCGCCAGACGCTCGAAGCGGCCTACCAAGTGATTTTCGGCAACCAACCGTTTCTCACAGCGCTCGTGCCCGCGCTGTGTACGACCTCCCACATCGTCGCGCTCACGGCGGCGCTACCCGCGCACTATTGCTTTGCCGCCGAGCCGGCTTTTCTCGAGACCGTTGCACGCACTCTCTCAAGTGGCATCGAGCGCCTCGCCGGGCGCTATGACCGGGTGCGGGCCCGCGCCGCGAGCCTTGAGGCGCTCGACGCGTTTGTCACAGCGCACAAAACGATCGCATTGCCGCTCGTGTCGCCACACGACGAGCAGAGCGCCGAAGTGCGTCTGGATTTGCAGCACAGGACGCTGTCGCTGCTGGCGTCGACGCTGACGGGGTGCCACGCGTACGTTGGGCTGCGGCAACCCGCACTTGACCGCATCGTCTTCACGGCAGCCTCGTCCAATAGCCACATGCTCGGAAAACAGCTCGTGCGCGGGAAGAAAGGCGGCGTTGGCTTTGAGGTTCTTGCGTCGCAGTCGCCGGTTGTGCTCACGCAAGCTTCGCAGCTCCGCGTGCTTCGGCACTTTGGCCGACCCGACGCGCTGGTTTTGCCGTACATGGCCGTGCCCATTGGCACGCTCGGTGTCCTAGCGCTCGACGATCTCAGCGCATACGGACCACCGCACGAGTCCCAGCCCGAAATGGGCGTCGAAGACTTTCTCGTGCGATGCGGGCAGACGTTGGCGACCGGATTGGAAGCCACGCGAGCGCAAACTGCAGCGTACCGCGCCCAGCTCCGCGAACGGGGTGTGCAGAACGCACTTGTGCTCAGCGACAACGCCCGACCGTCCGAGCGCGACGTCCACGCCGCGTGCCTCGCACTCGTCCATGCCACCTTTGCCGGCGCCAAGGGGTACGTCGCCATGGTCACGCCGTTTAGCAACGAGATGCGCGTCACGATGGCGTCCGAGAGCCCATTGGTCCATACCATCGACGCGTCGTCCCCTATCTTTGCCGCGTTCCAGCACCAAGCGCCCGTTGTCGCCGCCCACGTTCAAGACGAAGCTGACATCGCTCGCGTCGTGAGCGACCAAACAGGCGCGTTTGTCGCTGTCCCGATTCCGTATCTCGGTGTTCTCGCCGTGACGTCTTTTGCGGGGGCGGCGGGCGGCCCGTACACGGCGACGATCCCGGAGGCTGGCACTGTGTCCTGCCTCGAGGCCATCGGCGCACACCTTGGGTCGGTCGTGCGCACCAAGCGGCTCCACGAGAGCCAGCGCGTGCTCTCGTCGGTCTTTCTTGGCAACCGCTCGAGCTTTCAAACGCTCTTTGCGACCATCAGCGACGAGCTGGCGTCCAACATTCCGTCGGCGATCCGCATCGACGTCTGGTACATTTTTGAAGGCGACCACCCGCCGCTGCCGCAGTTTACAGCCTCCAGTCGTATCCATCCGACGTCGCCAAGCTTGCGGCAAGACGACGTCGACCAGATGCGCGCGGTCGACACGCCCGAGTCGATTCCCGAGACGAACGCGCTGCTTCTGCCCCTTGCGATGCACGACCCGTACGTCGTGGGCCCTCAAGTCGTTAAAAGCGTGCTACTGCTGACGCGGCTACCGGGCGTCGACTGGCCGCATGACCTCGACGTGCTCAAGCGACTGCAACCGCTCATCGACAATGCCTTGACACTCGCCAGTCACCGCGCGGCCGCCGACGTCGCGCGTCGCAAAGCACTTGTCCGTCTCGACAGCATCCGAGACGACACGCTCCAGCGGCCCAGCCACGACGCGTATGCGAATTTGCACGCGACCCAAGATGCGTGCCTCGATGCGATCGCCGACGCACTCGGCGCTGGCACCGACGTCTACCTCGCGTACTTGGAGCCGCGCTTCACCGAGTTTGCCACGAAGGACTTGGATGGACTCATCTTTCGCAGTGCGTCCCGCGAGAGCCTCATGCGCAACGTGGTCTTGGAATCGGAAGACCTCCTGAGCTTTCAGTGCCTTCGCACCCAAGAGCCGATCGTCATCAACCACCTGAGTGCACAAACGGGCAAAACTGTGCGCTTCTGCACCAGTCGTCGGGCGACGCGCGCGTATGCCGTCGTGCCACTCAGCACGCTCGGCGTCCTCGCGGTCGATAGCTTTGGCGTCCACTGCTTTACGACCAAGAACGAGCTGGAGAAAGACGTCTTGTCGTTTCTGCTGGACGCATCGCAGCGGCTCGCGGCGCTGTATGAAGACACGCACCAGCGCTACAGCCGTGACCGCATTGTCAGCGTCGGCTCGGACCTGCAAGCGCTGTACGCCGAGACGCTCGCTGCCGCGTACCGCGACGTGACCCACGTGCACAGCGGCCACGTGCTGGGCCTCGCACCCGACTTTACCGGCGAGCTCGAGGTGCTCTCTTGGCTCAAGTATCGCAACCGGCGGCCGGTGAAGGCGCCGCGCCACTACTGCTACGAGCAGCGCTGTCGAAAACACTATGTTCGAGACCTCATCCACTACGACTGCATTCGGTTGCCCATGACCAACTGCCCGCGAACGCTCGACGATGCGCGATCGATGGCGCCGGATCCGATCTTGGCTGCCACCGGGCTCGAGGTCCGTGGCAACTACCCTACGTTTGCTGCCATGATGGACGGCAAGATGGTCGCGCCCCGGATCGCGTTCGTGCTTTACCGCAAAGCCGGACGCAGCTTTTCCGAGAGGGACACTGCGTCGCTTCGTCGTCTTCTCACGACGGCCCAAGACGCCTACGTCGCCGCCTTTACCGCTCTCGTGCTTGAGAGTCTCTCGATTGAAGTGCTCTTCTTTGCGAGAGAGATGCTCCAGGCCAAAGACGGGTTTGTGGCCCGCGGATCGCCATTGCCTGTCCTCGCCATTTCGACCAACGAAGCCAAGTACCCGCTTGGGCCGCTAAAAAAGTCCAAGAAGCAAACCACCCGTCTCATCGCGTTTGCTGCCAACGACGTACCCGTCGCGGTCGCAACGATTCTTCCGGCCGTCGTTGCCGTTGCGACGCCGGCTCCGACGACGACAACGGTGCCGCCACCGGCAACTTCCGTGCCACCGGCAAAGGCGTCCAAGCTCACGACGCGCTTTCGTCCAAAGCCGAAACAACCAGCGCTGGCGCCAACACCCGTCGCCGATGTCGTCACCAAGGCGCCAACTAGTGCTGTGCACCACGAAGTATTGCTCCGGCTCCCGCATCATGAATTTCTTTTGCTCGACGTGTTTGTGGTCCCTGGTATCCTGGACGACGCTTCGTCGGTCGCGCGAACGACGATGGTCGACTGGATCGCGACGGCGTCGACGACCGCGCTTCGGTTCCGCGAAAAGCCCGCGGGCAACGAACGCACCGTGGGGTACCTCCTCGACATGTGGTTCCAAGCGTCTCGGACGACGTATGGGGCCGGCCGACTAAGCATCGAGCACGAAGCTCGGGTGCACCTCGATGCGCTCGTCGCCGTGCCACCGACACCGTGCCCGGATGTTATCGGTACCGTGTTTACCGCCGCATTGGTCGCTTGCGGCGTCAAGCGCGACGTCATTACGACGCCCCGGGTTCGATTCTCGTGCCCCTATCGAATTTCCGCATATTTTTTGATTGTGTAGGTGGCATTGGAACTTTTCCTCTCCAAGAAAGCTGCCACATATCTCTTTGAGAGCGACCCGTTTGATCCAAAGTTGAGAAACCGCGTGTGGACCAGTGCGTTCAAGTGCCGGACCTTTCTCACGTCGTTTTCGCTCCTGCAGCTGTTGCCGCAACTGTCGCCGCCACTGAACACGCTTCTGCGGTATCTACTCCTGCTCATTGCCGCCGCGCGCTTCCTCAAGCGCGACGCCGACGACGCGAAGGCCAAGCGCGCGCACCTGAGCGCAGCGGCCGTTGTGCTGCAGTGCCGCGTTCGGTGCATCTTTGCGAGCCGGGAGCTCGCGCGGCGGAGGCGCCAGCGCGACGCCGCCATTCGCATCCAGAGCGTCGGTCGCATGTACCTCGCGCGGCGAAAAGTGCTTCGTATGCGCCAGTATCAAGCCGCACGTCGCCTACAAACCTGGTGGCGGCGCCTCAAGGGGCCAAAGCAGCCGACTGCACTGTCGACCAAGCAGCTCTTGGACCACGTGCACGCACTTCAAGCGCGGTACGCCACCGTCGACTCGGAGACAGCGACGGCCGACGACGTGAGTGCGTGGGGAGACATCTCGACGACCGAGTCCTTTGACACCTTCCTCGCAAGTCGACACGGCAAAACCATGCTCGCCAAGGAGGAGCGCGGCCTCGGTGCGCGCATGAAAGCCCGCGTCAAGGCACGAATGGAGCTACCACTCGAGGCTCGGCTGGAGGAGGAAGTCCAAGACCTCTTTGATTTCTTCGACCCCATGGGTGTCGGGTCCATCTCGCGGTAGTCCCTCGCTGTGTGCCCTGAAAAAGGCGTCGATGTCTTGGACTAGGGACGATACGAAAGTGGTGATTGCCAAGCTTCGGATTCCGCTGGTCGACGACGAGCTCGACGACGTGGTGAGCATGATCGACAACGACAAGTCGGGCGACGTGAGCGTCCGTGAGTTTTGCTCGTGGTTTCTGTACGAGTACCCGACGCTGCGGAAGCGGTCGGCCGACTGCGGCAGTCTCTCGCGCGCGGACCGCGACTGGTTTGTGCACACGATGGCCAAGCGCTTCTTGCAACAAAAGTACAACATCCAGCGCGCAAGGACGGCGGCAACAAAGCCAAACCTTGACGACTAGCGAACTAAGATCGAAGGTGCGCAGTACAGTTCAATCTTTAAATTCTACACAAGTTATATCAGCGAATCGTGCAGGATTCGCCGACGTCAAAGCTTTTTTCGCGATGGGCAGCGTACCGTAGCGCTATGCAAGTCATGAGGTGTTTAGTTTAACTCGATTTCAACCCAAAAAGCGTTTGATTGCGGAGTGGGTTAATTGTTTGATGAGTTGAAAATGCACAAAAGGTCTCCCCATGACCCAATTTGCCCGTGGCGTTAACGTTTTCGACGTGTCATCGTCTTCCGAACAAAACCCGATTTTTCGACGTTCGTCAGGCAGCCCTTTCGAGCGCGAGATGGAATGAGCCATGTACAAATATATATTGATGTATCCATGGTTTATACAGCTTTGCTGTCTTACTTGTCGTCGTCCGAGTCGTCGGACGTCATGCTCCACGCCTGCACCGGCGTCGACTCGACGTCATCGTCGTCGTCGTAGCTCCTTCGCTTGGCCTCGGCGCGGCGCTTGCTGCTACTGCTACTTCTGCGCTGATTCGTGTGCTTGGCCTCGCGCGGCGGCGAGGCCTCTTCCGGGCCTTGGTGCATTGTCTTGGCCGGTGCCACGATCGGCGTCGACGCCAAGTGCTTCTCGTACAGGAGCTGCTGCGTGCGGTACGCGTCGAGCGTCTTGACCCAGCACGCAGCACTCGTTTTGCTCTCGGCCTTGAGGAAGAACTTGCGGCTCTTGGCCTCGACCTGGAAGCAATATTCGTCAAAGACAACGACCGCCGTAATGTCGTTGAGGAAGATCGCATCTACGCCAATCGCATTCGCGTTGGAAATGCACATGGACACACGTACTCTTCATGCGCGGCTGCGTGTTGTTGATAGCGTAGCCAAACGCCTTGTGTCTCTTGTCGATGTAGAACCAGCGCCGGTTCCAGCTGCCCGTGAGGTTGCTCAGGCCTGTACAAGGGGGGTGTCAAGGACCACTGAAAGGTATTCTCTCATAGAAAGGAGGTAGGGATCGTAGAAAGGATATGTTTGCCGCTTCATCTTGTAGAGGTATCCTTCGATCTCGGGCGGCAGCGGCGGCTGTGTCACGGCTTCCACCTTCCCGCTCATGCTTGGCAGTTTACCAACTGCTCTGTCGCGACAAGGATTTCTATTTTAGAATCCGCATAAGAAATAAATATCCGGATGAGCCAGAAACTCCTGTGGAGCAGCCTCTGGGATCAAGCGTTGTTTATCGTCTTGTGTTCCCATTTTGTCCAAGTGAGCGCGATGGCAATTGTAGTGTGTGCTGGTGTGCTGACACGCAGCAAGTCGAGGCGTATTGCACGATCCACTCATCCGACGAGCAAATGTCACCGGCCAATTTGCTTGATCTTTTCATGAAGGTTGGTTGTTGCAGGATGGTTGCAACGTCGACGACGTGGTACTTGGGGCTGCGCGGTGACACATACCCGCAACCAGAAAACGCGACAGTCAGGAGAGGCGGCTCCGCGCGTTGGTCTCGCGAGGGCGGCGTTCTCATGAGCATGCAAAACGTCGCGCTCTCCGCGCAGCACATGCAACTTCTGCAAGCGGGCCTTTTGGACCCGAACGATGACTATCCTATTCTGCATCCGTTGCACTCGACACAGTTTGGCAACCCGAGCCCTGTTCCACCATCAACACGCGAACAACAATAGAGTTGCACACGGCTGTAAACCGTGTAGCACAACGGCGGCAATATAGTGATGCTCTGGACATGAGCTCGGACGCAACGCCGACGCAACGCCGACGCCAATTTCATATTTCCTCCATGTCCAATTCGTCCAAAGCCTCACGTTGACGCGTGGCCTTCGCTGTTCTCTCACAGCCCATTCTCTTGGCCGCCATTTTGCGTACCAGCATGCCGGTCTCTCGACACTGCTTGCCCTTGCGTTTCAGCATCACAAGGCGAAGCTCGGGCGCCGGCTCTCGCGATCCATTGACGGAGCCGTGAATATCCTCCGCGGTTACGTCCTGTGCCAGCTTGTTGCAGCCAAGGACGTCAAGTTGGCCCTCGAACTACTGGCTGCGTTTCCCGAGCGCAATATGCTCGCGCTGCCGCCCACCGACGACATGTGCGTCTATGCGATCGACAACGCCGTGCGCGCACAGCGTGCCGCTGCTGAGACAATGCTGCAGCGGGACTTAAGCAAAAGCTCGAAAGGCGCCACGGATACTGCGGCCTTTAACCGTAGCTTGACCATGGTGCGGCTCTTGCACGAGTTCCGAAACGACGGGTGCACGTACCGGGCGTTCAACTGCCGCGAGGGAGCGCGGATACCGGGATATTTAGCCTTTCTGAACCGCAACCTTCCGCAAGACAGACACTGCACTGGCCCATTGAAGCGCGATCCCGCCGACGGATGTGCGATCCAATAAGATAGTAAGTCTATATAATATGTGCGATTGTTGTGTTGTGACGAAGCATCAATATTTCTGGAGCGTGTTTGAGCAAATGGACGGCCCACTGCGAGGGAACGCACCCATTTCGTCGCCAAAACATGGAGTGCGACGTCGGTCAGCGGAAGACCCAGGTGACAGTGACATCGCTTTGCTAGATACGGTATTCTTAATCTACTACAAATAAACAATCTGTCGAAAGAACCACGGACGCGGGTCCAAAGAATAAAATGGACAAAGTTGTTGCTCGCCGTCAGCGCTGGCCAAGTCATCTCATGATAAAAGGGTGGGACGTGGCCTGCGCTGGCAACGATACGCATCGTGTCCACTTCAAGAACGGCAAAAAAGTTACCAAGCGACGGCCCTCGACGACAAAAATATCAGTGTCTTTGGATCGCATCCAAAGCAAGCACATCCACCGTGGATCAATTTTCATTTTCTTCCATGTTGTCTCCATCCAAGTCCCGGGCTGCGTACGACGTTCTCACGCTCCCGAGTCTCGCGACCATCATCTTTGCGTATCAAGGCACAGGTGTCTCCATGTCGCTCGCGCTGGCATTCCGAAAGCACAAGACAAAGCTCCGACAACTCTTCTCACGGCCCATGAACAATGAAGTGGAGACCTTTCGCGGCTACGTCCTGTGCAAGCTTGTTGCTGCCAAGGACGTCAAGTTGGCCCTCGAGCTACTGGCTGCGTTCCCCGAGCGCGACATGCTCGCACTGCCACCGACCAACAAAAAGTACGTCTACGCAATCGACAACGCCGTGCGCCTGCAAAGCGTGCCGCTGCTGACAAAGTTGCTTGAGCGGGACTTTGGCAAAAGCTCGAAAGCCGCGATGGACGCCGCGGCGGCGGACGGCAACTTGGCCATGGTGCAGCTGTTGCACGAGTACCGCGACGACGGCTGCACGTATAACGCGTTTGCAGCCGCCAAAAAAGATGAGGACCACGACCTCTTGGCGTTTCTTCGACAGGCACGTCCGCGCGATGAACGCGTTCCAGGCCCTGTCAAGCTCGAACCCATCGACGTCGCCGCGGGAGTAGCCATTGCGTGTACAATACAATAAAACAATACGCGGACGTTGAAGTATACCTTTTGTCCATCGATGGACCCAATCATACTAGTACGCCCTTCCTTCGTACTAATACTGCGCTGCCTGGATGTGCAGTTGCAACAGCAGTACGCAAATGTTTGCTGGTTGCATGACAGTGCCAGCACATGAAGAGTGCACTCTGTACGTATCACTTGCTTGACCCACCTCATGACACTTAATTCATTGCGTTCTACTGCTCATGTACCGCCGTCCAAGCTCATGTGCTTTTCTGCTTGGACACATCGCGTTCAAAACAGGATGAGCGTTTGATTGGTCAAATATATATCGATTATTGACCAATCAGTCCCATTAAACTCCACAGCAAAACGCAGGACATGGTCACAGGTGCCAGAAATGCGCCGCCAACGCGTCCAAAAACGAAATCGCTCAAACTTGGCTCCATCATAAACATCACTTTGGAGACCTCAAAACACGACGCCGCGTCAGTGGGCGAGGCTTACAGCACGAGCAATGCCCTTCTTTTCTAAATTCGGCGCACGCCATTTCTAGCCACAAATGACCACGTTTCCGAACTTCAAGAAGAAACTAACCAGATTCAATCCATTTGCTTCTATTGTTTATAAGGAGTTTCTCTCATATCCGGAGGCAAGACAGGCAGCTGCGTCGGGGCGAAAGATATCTCGACCGACCACCATGACCCGCGCCCCGGCCGACCGCTGCCATGCTGGATACCTCGTGCTCTTCCTCATGGGCGTCGCCGCCCTTCTGCCGTGGAACGTCTTCATCACGGCGGACGGCTACTTTGGCCAGCGCCTCGCGGGCACGCCGGTCGCGACCTCGTTTCTGACCTACTTCTCGATGGCGTTCAACCTCACAGCCCTCGGCGTGCTCACGCTCAACACGGTCTGCTTCCGGAGCTACCTTCCGCGGCCGTCGGTGAAGATCACAGTCGCGCTCGTTGGCATAGCACTCGTCGTCTTCCTCTCGACCGTCCTCGTCAAGACGCCGTCCATTCAAGGTACATGGCGCCTCGATCTCGCTTGGATCTCTAGCATGAGACGTAGGCATGGTCTTCTTCAACATGACGATGACGAGCATCGTTGTCGCGTCCATTTGCGCTGCGTACCTCCAGGAAGGCCTCTTTGAGCTCACGGCGACGTTCCCGGAACGCTACACGCAGGCCATCATGACGGGCCAGAGCCTCGCCGGCTTCCTCGTCGCGCTCAGCGCCTTTTGCATTGCGTACCTCCATCTCAACCCAACGACGCTTCAAATGAGGTGGTATGTCGGTGACGACGCCACCGACAGCGCGTTCTCGTACTTCCTCACGGCCTTTGTCACGATCGCGCTGGCCATGCTGGCGTTCGCAGCCTTCCTCAAGTCGCCTCTCGCCCGCTTCTACATGGCGCCGCCCTCCAACGACGTCATCGCATCCCTCGAGAGCCTCTTGGAAGACGCGCCCAAAGGCAAAGTGACCCTCAACCCGGCCAAAGTGCTCTGGCGCGTCCGGTCGTACGCCATGTCGGTCGTCCTCGCTTTCTTTCTCTCGCTCGCGGTCTTTCCTGTGCTCACGTCGGCGGTCGTCTCGTCGAGCAGCAACAAGACGTTCCGGTCGCTCTTCACGCCGCTCACCTTCGTCCTCTTCAACGCCGGCGATCTCGTTGGCCGCATTGTCGCCGGCGTCGCGCCGCACCTGCTGTTAGGACGCGGTCTCGTCGTCTTGTCGCTTCTTCGCATTGGCTTTCTGCCGCTCCTGGGCTTGTGCCGCCTACAGGCCGCAACGACGACGCGCGTGGTCTTGGACCACGACGCCTACCCGTTGGTGCTCATTTTTCTGTGTGCATTTTCGAACGGTCTCGTCGTGAGCTTGGCCATGATGCAGAGTGCGCATAGCGTCGCGCCTCACCAACGGGCACTCACGGGTGCCCTCATGTTCTTTGCCTCACGTTTGGCCTCACGCTCGGCGCCTTAGCGTCGTTCCTCACCCATGCCTGGCTCGTACCGAACTCGTAGACAGCTTTGAACCCCATACTACGTGTACAACACGAATTGTGTCGCTTAAACAGTCATTCTGCCCTGCAAATTGAACCTTATCCGTGTAGGTGTACCAAGAATTAAAATAAAACCTCGACGCCAAGAGCCCGACGCTGCACCGCATACTCGCACAAGAGCTCGAACAGCTCGATCTTCTTGGGCGTTTTTGGCTTCTGCAGTGTATTAGCACAACACGAATCGCCGCCGCGGTCTCTTGTACGCGGCTGTCTCTGTCCGCCTCGATCGTGTCCCTCCATATTCATCATGGGCTTGGTCGGACGTTATTATCTGGTTTAGAATGATTTAGTCCACTACAGTAGACTATGATTCACTTCAACAGCAACCAAGTGTCTGCAAGGTCGACGTCGTAGGGACGACAGTGTTGCCTGACACACTTGGGGATAGGTTAGGGGTAGGTTAACCTGTCCTTGGCAACTCGACGCATGAAGCAAACATGTGTGTTTGCATATTGTCGACGTGGGACTCGACAGCTATGCATTCTCGACGGTGTTTGCACGGCCGCTCTCCGGAGCGCCTCCTAATATTTCTGAACGCGGCGGACGACCCAGACGCGCGCAGCGAGCAACACAGCACAGCGCCCGACGCGACGGCTCTGACGTAGTGTTGGGCGACCGACATGAGCGTGTGAATGACACGTCCGTGGATACAATGTATGTTTTAGTTCGTTCACGGATCCAGCTCTCATGCTGACGTGTGTCCAACGCTGCCTGTCTATGCACTTGGCGAAGATGTCTCATATTGGAAGCTCCTTAGATAGGACTGGAGACAACTACACAAGTCTTGTTGGTAGAGCCGGGCATCATCACGACCGAGTCGTCTTACGAGGCGCTGCTGAAGTTTAGCACGACTACCTATAAACACAGCCGAATGCCTGGGTTAACCCGCTGAACTGTAGGTCCCTCGACGCTATAGGGATCGCGACGCTTTCGGCGGGAACACAAACGGCACGCATCTCCAAGGTGGGCGTTAACTTAGTACGAGAAGCGGGTCTTGCTGTGGCGACAATATTAGATACATACTGTCCTGCTGCTTTCAGAGCAAGGCGCGCTCGACGAGCTGCGTGAGCCGGCGCTGGGCAAAAGGCGTGAGGGTGCCGGCGTCTACCACGGGCGCCGAGAGGTGCGGCACTTCGGCCGCGAACGCGTTGGAGGTTTCCTTGACGATCGCCGTGAACCGATCGCGCGCCAAGCGTCCGTCGCGCAGCCGGGGGTACACGAGCTGCTTGACAAACTGCACGATGACATCGCAGTACGGCAGCGTCTTGAGCGCTGCGGACGGCGACTTTTTAGTCGTCGAGGACGGTACCATGGGCGTGATCACGGGCAGCGCAAGCATGGGCGGGGGCGGGCGGCGCGCGACTGTCGACGTTACCGCGGCCGGCTTGGCCACCAGTTGCTTCCATTTGTCCAAGACGATGCGCGCCGTCGCTTGGCACGGGCCTGGGTCTTTTGTGAGCTGTAGCACCAAGTGGCCGAGTCCGTCACTCTAGTGCGTCGTTCAGTGGTCGTCCGTCGCAGAGTCGCATCGCTACCTGCTTGAGATGCTCCTTGGATATGGGCAGCTTGGCCAGGAGCGTGAGGAGCCCGTCCATGACGAGCTGGTGCTGCGGTCGGCCCGGCCCATACGGCGACAACCACGCCTTCAGCATCGGAAGCACCTGCCACTCGAGCACTTGGCGCTGCTGCGCGGGGTTGAGCGCCTCAAAGAACGATTTGACCTGCGGCAAGAGCCGCAGTTTGGCGGCCGCGGGTACATTGTAGACGGCCGTCGACGCGTCTTTGGCCTCGGCCAGCCGCATCGCGTCGCGCAGCGCTACAAACTGGGACCGGAACGACGCTCTTGGGGCCGGCGCGGCCGCCGCAGCTGGCGGCAAATCGCGCACAACGGGCGTCGCATGCGGCGTGAGCGTCATCATCTGCCGCGCCCGCGCGCTCTCCGCCCACATGGCGTCCGCCTCGCGCTTGCGCTTGAGTGCCGCGGTCGCAGGCGTGCGCTCGAGGATGCGCGCAGCCTCCTCCTGCATGCGACGCATCTCGGTCGACGCGACCGACCGCGGGTGGTACGCGGGCTCGGATGAGTAGTATTGCGACACTTCGCGCTCAAACGGCAGTGGCACACGCTGGCCACGACGCACGCCGAGGCGGGTTTCTAACGGCGTCCGTCGGCGCAGTGGCACCGATCGGCGGGTGCGACCGCTGCGCGACGCGCGCAATGACGCGAGCGTCGTGGCCTGCCGGCGCGCCGACGACCGCCGGTGCTCGTGCTCGGGGCAGAACCAGCTCTGGGCCGGGACGCCGGGAAGGCCCAAGCACAACGTGTGGCACGCGGCCTCGCAGTTGTCTGCGTCGCAGAGCAAGAGCGTCTCTTCGCTGTCGCCGTTGCCGCAGAGCATGCATGCAAACTCGTTGAGAAGATTGCTCGCGTGCGCGAGGTCGGCGCTCGAGTCGTCGTCGTGCACCTGCTTGGCGTGCTTGATCGGCGTCCGCTTCGTGATGACGCCATGGACGTTCTTTTGCACGATGCTCGTAAAGCGCGTCTTGCACATGGGGCAGAGGTTTGTGACCTTGGCCCATCTGAAGATGCACTCAAAGTGGAAGCAGTGCACGCATTTGAGGAGGTGGCCCTGCGCCTCGAGCGTCACCGCGTCCAAGCAGATCGAGCACTATCGATAGCACCGGGAGCCATGAGAAGCTTGTGCTTCGCGTCATCAAGGAGCGTCCTGTACCATCTCATCGTCGTCGGCGTCGTCGTCGTCGTCGAGGTCGTTCGCGTCGGTTGGCTTGGACGCATGGCCTTTTGGCGCGGGCTTGGCCTCGTCGTCGTCGTACTCGTCGAGAAGACTGTCGTCGTCCATGTACGAGAGGTCGATCGGTGCTGCGTGCGTGCCCATGCTGCTGCGATGGCGGAGGAAGATGCTGCGGCTGGCAGCACGGTCAAGATCCGGGCAATATCCAGTCGGCCTGTTTCCAAATTGGCCGAAATCAAAGATGACTGGATTTCACTATCGAATTAAAAAGGCCAATTCCGCGCTTGTGATTGGTCCGAGCTCAACAGCAATCTCAAATGGCGGCGACGAGCGTCCTGGTCCCGCGCCTGTACCGGTACGCGTCCGCTTCGTAGCCGCGACGTCGCCTCATCTATACCTGACGTAGCGCCCTCCTACGGCTGGCCAAGACGTGCCATGCCAACGAGATCGCCAACAAGTCCATCTACGCGGGCGTGCGCTCTGGCGGCCTGCTGCCCTACGACGGCGTCCAGGAAGACTGGAAGCGCGAGCAAGGCTTTCGCCTGCACCTCGACGTGCTCTCGCCCACGGACGTGCAGGCCATGACGTGGAAGGACGTTGTCTCGGCGATTCACCTTAAGTTTGCGACGCCATCGCGCCTCGCGGACACCGAGCGCATCGACCGCGGCTTCTCGACGCTTCGCGCGCTCGGTGACCACAACGCACTCATCGAGCTCTGCGTCTCCAATGGCGCCTTCACGCCCAAGGTACCGTCGATCTGTCGAGTCGAAGAGGTGTTGAAAGGACTAGCGTCGGATGCCGTCGATGCGCTTCAAGGTCGGCGACGTCGTCGACGTCCAAGGCCTCGGACGCGGTGTGATCTGCAACTGGTACTACCCCACGCTAAAGTACATGGACACGCGCAAGAAGGCCATCAAGATCAAGTACACGGTGCTACTGCACACGGACCGCACGAACGAAGAGTGCGCTTGAATATCGTTGGCGTCGACCATCAAATGGTGTGTAGGGATCGCTGGAAGATGTACCGTGTGACCCAGGAGCGTCTGCACATGGCGGAGATCCCTACAGTAGGTCGCATCTACTATTGTTTTCGGCTCATGACGCGGTGTAGGCGATTTCAAACCCGTCGCTGATCTTTTTCTTTGATGGGTTTGAGCACGGCCGGCACGTGCCGTCGCAAGCGCTTGCACAGCGGTTCCCGGACGACGTCGAGGCCCATCCCGCGCCGGTGCTACCCACCATCATGCAGCTTCAGAACGCCGACGAGAGTCTACTGACACAGTACCTCCGCAGCGCCGACACGACCATTGTCCGATTTACTAAAGTGGCCCTCGAGTCGATTTGGCTCAACGAGGCCGGCGAGGTCGCCAAAGCCGCGCTCGATGACGCAATGGCGGTGTACGAAGGCGGCGCCGCCGACCAAGGCAAAGCCATCTTGCACGACCTTGTCGAGACGTACCCGGACTGGGCGCCCGCCCTCGAGAAGCTCGCGATGGCGACGCTCGCCGACGGTACTGCGCTCATGGCCTCCACCGTTCGATGCTGATATGTGGCCGTAGAGCACTTTGGTGAAGCCCAAAAGCTCTTCCAGCGCGTTCTGGATCTCAAACCATGTCACTTTCGCGCGCTCAGCGGCCTCGCGACGTGCGCCGTGCGGCAGCGCGACTGGACGCTCGCGCACGACACGGCGGCCAAGCTCATTCGGCTCGAGCCCGACTCGGTGATCGCGCGCAAGGTGCTCACCAAGGTCGACGAAGCCTTGTACCACTTGCTTTAGATTGCAGATTGGCAGCGCTGTCGTGGGGCTCGTTTCTCGTGCTCGCCTCTTTTCTCTATAATCTCTCCCATATAGACGCATTTTCCATTGTACTTCTTTTGACTCCTTTGGGCATGCGATACCATCGAGGAGGGCTTTGGGCAGCATCTCGGGATCAAAAGACAAAAGTTTCCAACACATTAATATAGTTTATATAGCAGTCTACTTGAAGTCGACGACCGACGCGGGGTGCGCCTGCATGGGCAGGTCGCCGCCAATCGCGCGCTCGAGCGTCGCGCCAACACGGGCTTCGTTCAAATGGCCCATGAGCACGCCAACGCGGACTTGCTTTGGCTTGCCACGGACAACGAGCAGCGTCGGCGCTTGCGGGGCCTGGAGCTTGGAGAGGACGCGGCTTTGGTCCTTTGCGTGTACATAGACCACGTGAAGGCCTTTCGATGCCTTGAACTTGGCTGCCGTGGCCTTGACGAGGTCCTTCATCGCCGCCGACGGCTTGTTCGGGAGCACAAAAATGGCGCAGAGCATGCTCGTCGCCTCGGCGTCCTTGCCGAGGTTGCAGAGCTTGCCTTGGTTGCCACCATGGAGCTCGTCGACGTCGCCGGCCGCGCGCTTGGCCCGCAGTCGAGCGGCATACTTCTCAAAGGCAAAGTTGTAGACGGAAAACTCGTCGAGGTCACCGTCGTAGGGCGTGAACGCGCCGCGGTGGACGTAACCAAAGCTCGGAAAGGACGACCGGACGCCGTGGGTCTCGCAGAGCTGCGCGTGCTTGTCGCAGTCGACGGCGCCGACCTTGACGCGGCCCCGCAAATCCTTGGCAATCGACTCCATTGCCGGCTTGAACTTGATGCACTTTTTATCGGACGCGCGGTAAAACTGCACGAGCCACTCGTTCTTGGCGCTTTTGCCTGGAAATTTCTTGGGCGAGAGCCGCGTGACGTCCGACTCCTTGGCGTACAGCGGCGGCGGCGGACCGCGCTGTGGGTGCTGCCGCTGTTGGCCAAAGCCGCCAAAGCCGTCCATGCCGCTGTTGAACTGAAACTCGTGGGGCTGGTCGCGCCCACGCCGGCCGCCGCCGCCGCCAAAAAACTGGTTGAACATCTCGAACGGGTCACCGCGGAATTGGAAGCCGCCGCCGCCGCCAGGACGATGGCCGTGCGGATGCTGTTGCTGTTGTTGCTGCTGCTGCTGCTGCGGTCCGTCGGCGCCGTACAAGTCGTACTCTTCCTTCTTTTTCGGGTCGCTCAGCACCTCGTAGGCTTCCGAGATCTCGAGGAATTTGGCTTGCGCCGTCTCGCGCTCGGCCTCGTCGACCTTGTCGGGGTGGTACTTGAGCGCGAGCGTGCGGTAGGCCTTCTTGAGCTGCCGGTCGTTGAAGTTCTTGGCCACGCCGAGGATCTTGTAGTAGTCCTTGGCCGCGACCGTAAGCGCCATCAGCACGCAGAGCATGAGCGTCGTCAAGCGTGCCATCATCATCCAAGATCGCCCGAAAATCCAAATTCGAAAATGACCTCCGGGCCATGGCGGTCGCTATCCGGATGCGGGTTTGTCGCACGTGGCACCTCCAGGCCCGCGACACCCGCGTCCGGATAACGAGAGCCCAATGGCGTGGCGGATACGTGGCAGTCAACGGGCCCAGTTCTCTTGGCTCCGGCACGGCTTCGGCGAACGTTCGACACGTCACGACGCGTGGCATGCGTCGTCGCACGGTGAGACGCCGACCCACGCAGGAGAGGCTTCGGCAATCGAGCGGCTTGGTCTTGTGGACCGAACGACGGGGGCCTTTGGTCATGTTCTCGAAAAGTCCGTCGTCGTCCGTTGCATCGGGAATGGAACAGCCGAGGATTGATGAGTGTATATGTACTACGCATCGCGCCGGACGAGGATCCGATTCGAGTCGATCCAGATACCTAGCTACAGTCAAACGCTCTACGAACTGCGCTATGCTCGGTCGCATGGGGCGATGTCTTCATCCACGAAACGGTGGCACACGAGCTTGCGAACGAGCACCGAAGCGTGGGGTGCGTGTACGTACTCTGGACTCTTGAAGTCCATCTCGCGTGCGCTTCTCTGTCAAAAATGTGCTACGACAAACGGCTAGACACCATGGATCACGTGGTTGGTGGGCCAATATTGTAACTGGAGCGACGACCACCGGTTACACCTCTACAACGGTACCAAGTGCCACTGATGCGCGTGTGGCCAGACCACGGTGTACTGCTCTCGCCCCGTCGTCGTCACTGGCTGCGCGACGTGGTTGGCTTTGCGTATGCTGGCACTTGCATCGCCATCACGTTCGTCTTTGGCAACTGGACCCTAACGTACCTGGAAGACGACGTCTTTTGGCCCGGGTGGCAGTCGATGCACACAGCACTGCCGCTTGCGGGGATTCTGCGAGGACGCTTACTACTCGCCGCCAATTGGCCGTCCCTGGATCTCACGGCACTTGCGTTGCTCCCGAGCGACGCAATGGCCACGCCGCCGGCGTACCCCCGACGCCTCATGTACCAAGACTTGACGTCGCTGCACTCGGCTGTCGTTGGGCTCCGGGCGCTTCACACGGCCCATCTCACGAACATGGTTTCGGCGTACTGTTGGGCGGACCTCGACCGGCGCTGGGCACTTAGCCACACGGCCGCTCGCCAGATGCGCTGCGAAAACTCCTACGCCTCCAACGCTGCCGTCTACTTGGAAGCGATTCTGCGCAACGTCGATATGGCGGCATGGAACGACGTGGCACGATTCCAGCGCTCGATCGGCGACCCGATCGCGGCGTCCTCGGCCGCCGGACGCGCCTGGGTCAAGTCACTCTACGACGTGCCATGGCGCTCGATCGAGGACGAAGTCGACGTGTGGCAACGGCATGGCTGCTCGTCGTTCACGTTGCAGTGGGCCAATCGACTGCAAATCGGTCTCCACGACACAGTGCTCTTGCGCAGCGCGCTCGGGCTCGACCAGCCGCTCGTGCTGCACGCGCTACCGTCGACGGCGCTGGGCATGGCGTGGGTCTCGTCGTACTTGTTCTCGTGCCTCGACAACGCCTTTCGCGCTGCCAAGAACCGTAGTTTGGTGCGCGACACGCCGACGTTTTTCGGCCACAACGATCCGTCCTTGATGGAAGCCTACAACGCCGGCACGCCGTTGTCGCCTCTTTTCCAGGTAGTCCACAACGCCATTGGACCGCTGGGGGCCATTGATCTCTACTGGATCCCTGTGCCACCGCCGTTGGTCGCGGCGATCGAGCTCTTCCGGTCGCACGTACAGACGTCGCCCGTCCGGTCGTCGCTCACGCTGCATCCGACACCACGACGCTGGACGTCTCCCGCGCTGCGCTTTCTGAGCGGCAACCCCATGTGCATTCAAGGCACGCCCGTGTCATTTGTCATCGAGTCGTTTGGATTCGACGACGGCTGTGCCGGCGCAACACCGCTCACGGTTGCCGTCCACGGCATGAGCGGTCTCTTTGGGCTCTGGCTGCTTCAGGGCGAAACGAAAACGGACGAGATCTGCGCACTCGTTCACGCCGACACGGCGTGCAAGGCGTATCTCGCAGCGCTACTGCCAGTGCTGCACTCGCTGCCGCCACCGCCGCCGCTGGCAGTGACGCTTTCAGCCGTCAACCTGACGCTGCTCCAGTTTATAGACACGACACGTCTTAATACGAACCGCGCGGAACTACAGCTGGAGACGCAGTCGCTGCTCGAGCCGACGTGGGCGTTCTTTGGGTGGACCATGATTTACGACTGGGTGCACCTTTCACGCGAAGCCGTCTCGTTCCAAGGCGACGTGAGCACGTTCAACGTCCTCTCGGCGGCGTATGCCCCGGTCGACGTCCTTGAGACTGGAACGACGCCGCCGTCGTGGGTGCGCTTTATTCGCATCGCAAACGTCATCTTTAGCCTCGGTCTCGTGCTCGTTGGTGGTGTGGCAATGGCGTTTCTTGGCTGTCAGCCGCACGCTGCCCGGTGGCATCTCTTCCCCCGCATTGCAACCAGCGTCTGGTTCAACCGCGGCTTCTTGACTCTCCGGAGCCTCACGGCCATTGTGTGCCTCTCGACGGCACCTATCTTTCCAATCGTCGATGCAACGACCCAGACAACGCAACTCGTCTTTGAGCCCCGGACTCTCGCAACGTCCTGCGTCTTGGCCATCGAGGCGACGTGGGTGCTCTACAGCGTACACGACGCCTTGCACCCTGTATGCGGCCGCCACACCAACACACGCGCAGCGATCAGCTGTGCCATTGCGTTTCTAGCAGTCGCGTGCCTCGATGTCGCGTCGCCCGTTCGAATACGCGCGTCGCTGAACCGGGTGTGCTCGTCCGAAGACATGGACACGATGATCTACTGCGTAAGCGGCGTCGTCACCATCGGACACATGTCGCGCTCCCTCGTACTCGGCCTAGCGTTGTTGCTCTCGGTGCTCGTCGCGCATCTCGTGCCGCTGCCAACTCCGATCACGCCGTGCCATGCGCCCAGCTTGGCCCTCCCGTTGGCGCTCGTCTCCGACGTGCGAGGAAACAACGACCGCAACGTTGCGTCGCTGGACCGCGCAACGGCGGCGATGTGCGGCATCTTCCAGCTGCGCCACCACGCGATCTTTGACTCCAAGCTTTGGCGATCTATCCCGTCGGCGAAGCTCAATAGGCGCGTGTTGCTACCCGACTGCGGCAGCGCGCGTCTGCGAGGACCGTCGTTGACATCGTCGTTGACATCGTCGTTGACATCGTCGTTGACACCGTCGTTGACACCGACGTCGACACGCCGTGAGCGCTGCGAGCAAGTGGGCATCGCGCTCTGCGGCCTTGGCTTCTTGGTCACGTCGCTTTTCAGTAACGTGCTGTACGTCCAGAAAGCATCCTCGTACTTGGCCAACGACTATGGCTGGGCCGGCTTCAACACGACGGGCGCCCGCGTGTTTGTGGCCAACGTGGTCAACGAAGCGCTGCTCTCGATGCGCGCGTGTCGCAGCTTTGCACTCGACTCACCCAGCATCGGCACAATCCATCAGCGCTACAATGGCTCGTCGACCGAGGTCACATGGGCCGCGTCCATGGCCCGACGCCAGCTCTACCAACGCGAAACGCCGCTGACCGAGATCATTTCGGGACTTCGCACCATGAGTCCGTGCAATTTGCCATTTATGTTTACACAGTACTGCTACCTCGACTTTCACCAGACGTGGGAGATGGCGTCGACGACGAAGCGCCAAGCACGCTGCGTCCTGCAGCGTTCGAACGGCGCAGTCTTCCTCGAAAGCGCTTTGCGCAACATCAACGACTGGGGCGTCTGGGAGCGCTGTTGGGGCGAGGCCTTTGAGATTGGGATTACGGCACCGCTCGCCACAACGTTGGACGGGCAAGCGTGGCTGCAGCGCGTGCGATCGGCGCATGCTGTATCGCTCGACGACGAAGTCGCGTACTGGCAGCGCCATGGAATCGAGTCCTTTGTACTGCAGTGGCAAAACTTCAAGACCGTCGGCATGGTCGATGACATGGTGGTGACGTCCGCGCTCGGGCTCTCGTCCTCTCTTCGGCTCAGTACCTCGCGCAGCAAGCTCCATTGGCACAAGCAGACGTCCGTCAAGATGTACTGGTCGTTTGCGAACGATCTCTGGGCCATCACCTCGAACGCCACGGCGGTTCATGGTCGAACCTTGCTGCGGGCGAGCGCCGACTTTGCCTTTTCAAATGTGACGAGCGAATCGCTGTTGACATCGAACGCGACGCTCCCGGCGCCGCTGACGCGAGGCCTGGCCATGGTTCGAGACGCCATCGGTCCCTTCAACGCCGTCGACATGATCTATGTGCCATGCCCCGCGTCATTGCAGCGCGTGTACCGTGACGCGACGATGTCCTTAGCGTCCGTGCTCCTGATGAACGCATCGGCCCAAGCGGCGTTTTTGCACTTGTCGACCGCCGAGTACACGTACATGCTGCCAATCCCATCAAGCTCGCTCAACGCGACGTCGAGCAGCGTGGGCGGCAATCTACTCTGTGGCGACGACGTGCCGGCGTACCCGCTCTCCTTGGGCTTTGCCTGTTTCTTTGGGCCGCACAACATGTGCCATGCGTATTTCAGCGAGTACATTTCGCTTGACATGCGTCATTTGCTCGTGGCGCTTCTGGCGACCGACGATCCCACCTTGGACGGCAATGCCATCTGCGAAAACGACGCACTCGCCCATCCGAATTGCCTGGCCTTCTATGCATCTGCGTCATCCTTTCTATCGACGTTCGTGCCATCCTTGAATCCGTCCTCGGACGCCGCCTTGGACGATGTTGCGGCGCTCGACCTCGAGCTCATCCAATTTGTCGTGGACGGGAATCGATCGGAAACGCCGCTGCAGCTGTACCGCCACCCGCTCGTCCTCCGATCGGATCGACCGTGGCGCTTCTATACGTGGGTTTACCTCGTGCAGTGGGCCGCGGGTGCCCGCGACGTCGTCTCCTTCCAAGGCGACAACGGCCGAATGACGACACTCTCGACGCGCTCCCAGCCTCTCACAATGACACCCGACGTGAATGAGATCCCGAGATCGATCTCGCGCCTCTTCCTCCTCGCGGTGCAGTATGTGACAATGGCGCTCATGGGCGTGGGGGGGCTGGCGGCTCTCGTGACGCTACGCCACCTCACGGCAACCAACGGCCTCAATCTCATGGAGCTCAACCGCGTCGTGGGCCACGTTTGGATTGGACGCTCGTGGCTGCTCGCCCGCAGCATCTCGGCGCAGTGGCTGCTGCACACGAGCACGCTCCGCCTCGCGCAAGTCGGCGTCGGCACGCGGTTTGAATCGCCGCCGCTCGACTGGTTTACGACCATGCTGGCCGGCGGCGAAAGCACATGGTTTGTCTACATCCTCAACGACCTCCTGAGCTGTGTGTCGCGCCAATGGACGTTTCCGTATGCGTTCAAGAGCGCGCTGGTCGCGTGGAGTGCCACGTCATTGTGGGTGACCCTCGTGCCAGCCACGTACGCGGCGACGCTGGACCGGCGTTGCAAATTTGTCGAGATGGACCTCGCGTTGACGTGCGTGAGTGCGCACGTGCAGATTGGTGACGGCACGCGCGTCGGCATGGGATTTGCTCTAAGCCTCGCCGCCGTGCTCGTCTGCCTTGGCATTGAGCGCTACCGCCTCTGCGATTTACGGCCGCTACGTCTGACGACGACGACGCTCCTTAATGCAACAAGTTTGCACATGCTAATGACGACGCCCGACGGCCTGCTGGATGCCGCGTCCGGTATATTGGCCGGTCTCTTGACCCTTCGTCTTGGCGACACGCTGCATATCTTTGACGTCAAGTGCTGGCGCCATGTGGCGCTCTCGGTCGACAACCTGGCGCCGGGGTTGATTCCGCTCCGTGACGTCTGATCGTCACGTGTCGCGGTGACGTGGCAGTGACGCCCCTGCGTTGTTTTTACGTCGATACCTGAACCCTCCCGCGCCGGCAGGACTGGTTAACACATCCTACGCGAATAGCTGCGCGCGTCTTTTGCTTCCTCGTCTTACTCGAGCCATCGAGAGACGATACTGGTAAATGCGTAAATGGAGACAGACTGTTATCGACCGACGATCTGCAAGTGCGTGGCCACAAACGAGTGGACGCGGTGGAGTTCGGTGGTGTCGACCGTGTGGCCCAGCGCCGGGTACGCAACAAAGTCGCAGGCAACGCCATGCGCCTGCAGCAGCTGGTTCGACTGCTTGCCGAAGGCCAGCGGCACGAGCGTGTCCTTTCCGCCGTGGCACTGCAAGCCGGGCGTGGCGGGGACCGGGCGTGGAACGACGGCGCCATGGGGAGGTACCCGCTGAGGAAGACGGCGCATGCCAATGGGAACGTCAAGAGGCGGTAGCACGTGTGCATCGCGACGGCCGCGCCTTGGCTAAAGCCGACGACCGCGATCTTACTCGGTGGAATGCCCCGCGCGATCTCTGCCTGAATCAGCTTGGCGAGCATGTTGGCTGCGCGCTGGATGCCGACTTCGTCCTCGCGGTCCTATACGTACGTTGCAGGTTGGACGAGGGATGGCGATGGCAGATACATGTCCGTAGGTAGTACCTGCGGGCGAAGGCCGAGTATGTCGTACCACGCCGGCATCTGCATGCCTCCATTGAGCGTCACGCGCCGCGTCGGCGCGGTCGGGAAGATGTACTTGACACCATGCAGCGGGCCAAGGGCGGTGACGTGGCGATGCCACGACTGCCCCGTGTCGCCGAGCCCGTGGAGCCAGATGACCGTGGCGACGTGGTCGCCTTGGGGTGCGATGACGACCCGGCGGTCCCATTCGTCGTCGTCCGTCGGCGCTTGGTCGTACCCGAAGGCGGTGCAGACGTTGCCCATCGTCGTGCTTGCCGCGGAGCGCAATGTTTCGGCGCAATTTATGCCCGTGTGACATAAGCACGCACCCCACCCGGGTCCCTTGTAATTGCAGCTCCGCACCATCTGGTCGTGCGTTTCTTGAAGCCGGCGTTTTCATGGGCCCGGTCCGGGTCCCTCATAAACACACGACCGACTGCACCCTATCACTTTCACCGCAGCTGTCTCCCGTCAGCCGCGCCATAGCCATGGCGCTGACGTCGTCGTAGAGTCGAGGGCGCATCAAGTGCTGCTGCGATGGAGAATCCTACATGTAATTACTGTGCAAGGCTACTCTAGCGTTGTCCCAGACGTTGAAGCTGCCGCGCTCATTCGACAGGCGATTGTCGACCCATCATGCATCTTCTTCGACGCTTCTTCGACGCATCTTCTTCCCGCCCCGTCGTCCCATCCGCCTTCTTCGGTGCATTTCGAGTATCGAAACAACGACTGGTGGCCCACGTTTCGATTTCGAGGTTTAAACAGAGACGGCAAAAGAACTGATGATGGACCCAACACTCCGCGCCAAGGCCGCGCCGACCGGCGTTGGGTGGCTTTCTATCTTTACCCACGTGGTACAACGGCAAGCCCTATTTATACCTCGCCGTTTAAACGCCCTTGCACGTGGATTGGTTGAAAGGCCGCGCCATTTTGGGCTTGCGCCTTTTTGATTGGTCAATTTGGATCGGTTTCAAAATTTAAATCGGCGCGAGGTGTATTTTTATTGTTTCATAAAAAAATACTCGACAAGATCGCACGGGTGCTCATTGGCTGAGACGACACCCCCTTCTCTTTGTCCCGATGCATACAAACACCAAGTGTACTGGCGGAAGGGGAGGGGCCATCGAGGTAGGGTTGGGAGAAGTGGAAGGTTTCGTGCCGGGGCACAGGGCTCGGGGAATGGCTGGGACTCGTCTGGAGCGCTCATTTTCAAACGGGAAAGAAAGCAGCAACAGCAGGTACATGCCATCATCGCCCATCTCGCGGAAGCATGGCGGCTCATGCACCTCTTCCTCCTAGGTTGACATGCGGGAGTTGGTTCACATTCAGGGTGGTCAGTGCGGTAACCAGATCGGTGCCAAGTTCTGGGAGGTCATCTCGGACGAGCACGGCGTCGACCCCACGGGTTCGTACCACGGCGACTCGGACCTCCAGCTCGAGCGCATCAACGTTTACTACAACGAAGCCACCGGCGGCCGCTACGTGCCCCGTGCTATCTTGATGGACTTGGAGCCGGGTACCATGGACTCGGTCCGTGCCGGCCCGTATGGCCAGCTTTTCCGCCCCGACAACTTTGTCTTCGGCCAGACGGGTGCTGGTAACAACTGGGCCAAGGGCCACTACACGGAAGGCGCTGAGCTCATTGACTCGGTCCTCGACGTTGTCCGCAAGGAAGCCGAGAGCTGCGACTGCCTCCAGGGTTTCCAGATTACGCACTCGCTCGGTGGTGGTACCGGTTCCGGTATGGGTACGCTCTTGATCTCCAAGATCCGCGAAGAGTACCCCGACCGTATCATGTGCACGTACTCGGTCTGCCCGTCGCCAAAGGTCTCGGACACGGTCGTCGAGCCGTACAACGCCACGCTCTCGGTCCACCAGCTCGTCGAAAACGCCGATGAGGTCATGTGTCTCGATAACGAGGCGCTCTACGATATTTGCTTCCGCACGCTCAAGCTCACGACGCCCACGTACGGCGACTTGAACCACTTGGTCTGCGCCGCCATGTCGGGTATCACGACGTGCCTCCGCTTCCCCGGTCAGTTGAACTCGGATCTTCGCAAGCTCGCCGTCAACTTGATCCCGTTCCCGCGTCTCCACTTCTTCATGATTGGTTTCGCGCCCTTGACGTCGCGTGGCTCGCAGCAGTACCGCGCGCTCACGGTCCCCGAGCTTACACAGCAGCAGTTTGATGCCAAGAACATGATGTGCGCCGCCGATCCTCGCCACGGCCGCTACCTCACGGCTGCCTGCATGTTCCGTGGCCGCATGTCCACGAAGGAAGTCGATGAGCAGATGCTCAACGTCCAGAACAAGAACTCGTCGTACTTCGTCGAGTGGATCCCGAACAACATCAAGGCCAGCGTGTGCGACATCCCGCCGAAGGGCCTTAAGATGTCGACGACGTTCATCGGTAACTCGACGGCGATCCAGGAGATGTTCAAGCGCGTCTCGGAGCAGTTCACGGCCATGTTCCGGCGGAAGGCTTTCTTGCATTGGTACACGGGCGAAGGCATGGACGAGATGGAGTTCACGGAAGCCGAGTCCAACATGAACGATCTCGTCTCGGAGTACCAGCAGTACCAGGACGCGACGGCCGAGGAAGAAGGCGAGTTCGACGAAGACGAAGAGATGGACGAAATGATGTAGATGAAATCAACGAGGTTTCTCTCACTGCATTGGGTCTCGTATATTTACAAGTACAATACACTGCGCGAAGGGGCCTCGTCCTTTGGCTTTGTTTTTGTCACCATCTTTAACCACTACATTGCCTACACTGCTTCGCCTGGTAGAGATGACCTTCCCGCTCCATGGCGCTGCATGCAATCGTTGCCTTAAGCTCCATGGCAGTGTCAAACGTGTGCGACCCTACGTACCCCTTGCGCATGGTTCTATACGAGCATGGTTGGAACATCCATTGGGCTAACCTCATGGGCCCTGCCTCAAGGTCGACGGATCTGTGATGGGCCACGTTCCATGGGGACAGGCACTAGGTAGATGCGACCTAAAGCATATCACACGTTCGCTCCTGGGTGCATGTCGACGTCGTTGACATGGAAGCGATGCATGATGGACTGCGAACGGTCGCGGCTTCTTAGTCGGTCGTTGCTGCCCTTAGTCGCTTAGTCGAGGAATCTTCTGTGGGAATCTTCCAGCCGAAGTGATTGTGGGCGGGTTTTACCCAAGCCGCCCGAGCGTCCAACTCGGCAGTTTGCCCACTCGATGGGAAGAGCATGCAGACAGCCTTTGTAGGACGACGTGCATGGCACCAGTGGGGGCTTCGGCGCTTGCCGATGGCTACGCGCCACCTGCACCACTTCCAAGCGCCTCGGCTCGCGGACTTGGTCCTCATCCGCCACGGCGAGAGCGAAGGCAACGTGGCCCGCGAGCGCTCGATCAAGGGCGACCACAGCCTCTTTAGCGGCGAGTTCAAGCACCGCCATAGCTCCAATTGGCGCCTCACGGACCGCGGCCGCGAGCAGGCCGAAGCCGCCGGCGAGTGGTTGCGCAAGAACGACATGGTCTACTTTGACCGGTACCTTGTGTCCGAGTACCTCCGCGCGATGGAGACGGCCGCGCGCCTCAACCTTCCGGACGCCCAGTGGTACGCCGAGATGCTGCTGCGCGAGCGCGATTGGGGTCAAATGGACCTCATGTCGGAAGACGAGCGCTTCAAGAACATGTACGACGAGCTCGTGCGGCGTGACCTCGACCGCTTCTACTACGCGCCGCCGGGCGGCGAATCGATGGCGGCCGTCGCGCAGCGCGTCGACCGTATGCTCTGTGTCTTGCACCGCGAGCTTCCGGGCAAGAAGGCGGTCGTTGTCTGCCACAGCGAGGTCATGTGGGCGCTCCGGACGCGCCTCGAGCGCATGTCGCAAGAGACCTTCCGCGAGCTCCAGATGAGCGGGCGCATGGTCGACCAGATCCACAACGCGCACATTCTGCACTACACGCGCACGGACCCGGGCACGGGCAAGGTCGCGCCCTTCTTTACGCACATGCGGTCGGTGTGTCCGTGGAACGAGAAGCTCAGTCCGAAGGGCTGGATCAAGATCAACCGACCGGTGTACGACAACGACATGATGCTCGCGATCGCCGAGCGCGTGCCACGCATGATCGTCTCGGAAGAGTACCTCCAGCAAACGTACCGCCCGGACAAGAAGCGTCTCTACTGCGACGACGCCGAGTCGCCCAACAAGCACACGTTTTGCGCCGAGACGGACCCGAACCTTCTGCACCCGGTCCTTGCCGTGCCCGCGCCCAAGGTGACGCTGCAGAACGTCGTTGTCGTCAACAAAATGACGCGCTACCAGCACGAAGAGTCGCTGTATGGCAACTCGGGGTACGTGCCTTGATATCTTGATATCTCAACATTGACATCTCGTCGGCGGTGCTTAGCGAAGCGCTCAAGAAGCAAATGTCGATGCGCGGCTTTGTCTACGACCGCCTCAAGGCCAGCCACGACCACCACATTGATGCGATCGACGATATTACGTCCACGTACACCGTCCTTTTCGCTTGATACATTGATATATATATATGAACGGTAGGTTCAAGGAGTATAACATCAACTGCACGATCGTCAACGCCCACGAGCTGACGCACGACGCGTACGATGGCGCAGACATGATCTTCTCGGCGGGCGGCGACGGCACGTTTCTCAAGGCCGCGAGTTTTGTCAACAAGCCGATTCCAGTCGCGGGCCTCAACACGGACTCGGCGCGCAGCGAAGGCAACCTCTGCGCGTACTCGATCGACGCGTCGTGCCACCGCTTTAGCATTGGCCTCGACCGGCTCCTGACCGGTGACTTTCGCTGGCGACACCGACAGCGCATCCGCGTCGGCATGGTCAACCAAGAAGGCTTCAAGTACGAACTCCCGCGGTATGCTTTGAACGAGGTAGGCCATCGCTGCTTTTGTACGATGGGCGACGACGATTTGTAGGTGTTTATTGCCGAGAGCGATGCGTCCCGGCCGTCCCACTACAACATTGGCATTGACCAGCAGCAGCGCGAGTCGCACCGAAGCAGCGGCATCATCGTGTGCACCGGGACGGGCTCGAGCGCGTGGCACTACTCGGCGGTATGTCGTGTGGATGAGAAGATATGACGTGGCAGCGCCTCATGCGTTCGCCTCATAGTCGCAAATCCACCGCGAACAGATTTCCAGTGTCCTCCATGCCATGGACTTTCACACGTACACGAACGAGACAGTGACCGAGATTACCGAAATGTAGAGCGCTGCTTCCGACAACACTGGAGCTCATAGGATCTCCATGTAGGCTCAACAAGCAAAACATGTTTGCCGAAGACTCGGTCGACATGGGCTACGTCGTGCGCGAGCCCATCATCAACGCGACGTTTGGCGACATTCGCTTCCGGCGCGGGAAGGCGCGCCGCGTCTCGATGCGGTCGCTCGGCTGGGATATGAAGGTCAATCTCGATGGGCTCTACTCAGTGCCGCTCAACTATGGCGTCCAAGCCGTCATGAAGATCTGCACCGAGCCGCAGTACGTGTTGCGCACCGTCGACTTTAGTCGGTCGACGGACGCGGCTTTGGACAAGGATTTCCCCTAACACGGTGTTGATACAAAGCGTCTGCATGTAGTACTACACAGCGTCACATCGCATGCACCGCGGCGACGAGGAGCAGCTCCTGCATGGTCCTGTTGTGCATTGTGTCGTACCATGCAAAGCAACCCATCCAATTCCATTGCATCGTACTCGTACTACCTGCGACAGCAGCAGCCGGCTCGTCGTTCGTACAGCGCTGGCGATCATTCGTTTCGCGCAATTGCGCCGACTGACGCCAGGCCTCGCCCTTGGGTGCGCAGCTGGCGCCTCACCCAACGGCCCGCGCAACGGCCATGGCCCATCGAGGCCGCGATAGCGCAGTTGCTACGCCCGTCGGCAGCGCTTCTCGCCAGCGCCTGCACGGCGAGCTCGTCGCGGACCTGCGACCGCAGCTGCGGCCTCTGATCCGTGGCAGCTGCTCGGGACAAATTTAGCGCATACAATCACCAAGTGCCAAAAAAACGGCCGAATTATATCCAATTGGGGCGCTCGGCCTTTACCTCATTTCGGAACCCCATCTTCCGAGCCGGCGTTGGTAATGAGCAAGCAGCGCAGCATGAAGCGGGCGGCCCAAGACGTCCCCGCCCACCCGATGCTCAAGAAGCGCAAGGCCGGCCTCGAGACGCCACCGCTGCATGAGATACCGCCGACACCGCAGGGCCCGGCGGCCATGATGCCACCGACGCCGGCGTACGGCCAGGCCGAGGCTGCCGAGACGTCGCGCGCCGCGCCGGCGCCGCCCGTCGACATGAACCCCGTGACGCAGCGCAACTTTCGCGGCTGGCAAGTCGGATCGCGCTACCGCCTCGTGCGCCTCCTCGGCAAAGGCTCGTATGGCCAGGTGCGTCGTCGTCGTCGACGTCTTCGTGTGTGGTCATACAGGCCGTAGGTGGCCGAGGCCTTTGACGTGCTCAAGAACAAGCGCGTCGCGATCAAGAAGATCATCAACGTCTTTGACCAGGAGGTTGACTGCAAGCGCCTGTACCGCGAGATCTACATCTTGCGCCACCTCCGGTAGACACTCCATCGTTCTTTACATCCTCCTCACGACGTTCTCGCCTGTCTTCCAGGCATTCGGAGGTCATTACGCTCCTCGACGTCCTCGAGCCGCCCAACCTCGAGACGTTCAAGGACCTCTACCTCGTCTTTGAATTTGTCGACACGGACCTCCACAAGCTCATCATGAGTCCGCAGTATCTCACGACGCGCCATATCCAGCTCTTCTTGTACCAACTGCTGTGCGGACTCAAGTACGTCCACAGCGCCAACGTCATCCACCGCGACATGAAGCCTGCCAACATCCTCCTCAACGAAGACTGCACGCTCAAGGTAATCCCCTCGGACGTGACCATATAGGATCTTACCGTCGGGCTAGATTTGCGACTTTGGCCTCGCGCGAGTCGTGGACGCGGCCATCTACAAGGACCTAGGCGAGCCGGTCTCTCCGCAGTACCACCAGCGCATCCGGTCGCCGACCGACGGCGCCACGCCCAAGGTCGACATTCTCTCAAATTTGCAGTTTTGAGCTCAAAGATGCTGTTTGTAGTTTCAGCGCCAGCTCACCAAGCACGTTGTGACGCGCTGGTACCGCGCGCCCGAGCTCATTTTGCTCCAGGACTACGGCTACGCAGTCGACCTCTGGAGCGTCGGGTGCATCTTCGCAGAGCTCTTGTCGATGCAAGCCGAGAGCTACCCGCAGTACCAGGTATCTCTCTTTTCTTAGCAATAAGCTGGAGCGAATCTTTGGATAGTCGCGGACGCCGATCTTTCCGGGCCGGTCGTGCTTTCCGCTGAGCGCCGACCGACCGACGACGTACTCGGACAAGCTCGACCAGCTCAACGTCATCTTTGGCGTCATTGGCACGCCCAAGGAAGAGGACATTGGCAACCTCGGAGAGGTCAAGCAGTACCTCCGGAAACTCAACAAGAAGGAGCCCCGGGACCTGAAGGAACTCTACCCCGGCGCGCCACCCGAGGCGCTCGACCTCCTCAAGCAATTTCTGACCTTCAACCCCGACACGCGCATCAGCGTACGTTTTTCTATCAATGTATCAAGTAATGATGGAAGGCTGGATGCAGGTGGAAGCGGCGCTCCAGCACCCGTTCTTGAACGAGGTGCGGTCACTGCGGAAGGAAGCAGTGGAGCTGCAGCCGCTTGATATGGGCTTTGAGAACGTGCCGTTGGACCGCGCGCAGCTCAAAGGTATTACTCGAACGGGATCGAGTGATCTTGGTGGTCATCTTCTGTGCAGCGCGCATCTACGAAGAGATTCAGTGCTTCCAAGCGCTCAACGCCGAGGCCGATGCGCAGGCCCAACGCGCCGCCGAGAGCAGCGCCATGAGCAAAGTGGTGCCAATGCCACAGGACCTGCCCGCCGCAGGTACGACGACGACGACGACATGAGCACGATTAGAAGAGGAACGCGTCTGTATGTATAAATCGATTAACTAGCAAGTGGTGTACCAATATATTAACTAATACTAGTGCGAAGAGCGATGGTATAGGATGGACAGAAGTCGTCCATCCTAGTCCCAGCCATTGCGAGCGTGTCCGAAAAGGCGTGCAGTACGCACGAGCGACGACGTTGAGAGGCATGCGTCGCATTGACAGGGCCATCAATATGCGTCGACACAAAAGGCCCTTTTTGTGCCAGTAGAAAAATAATGGCAAAATTTGTGTCATTCACAATAAAAACATAATCAACGCTGTGTGGTTAGGTAGCGTTGACCAGAACCGTCGACCAATACTCGACCTCGGCTCGGCTCAATGGCTCGTCGGGCGCGGCGACCTCGTCGCGAGCGGCGCCATGTCATCAGGCGCCATGTCGGACTCTGCGGGCAATCTCACCGCGATCTCGTTCATCGAAGCAAAGCTGTGGGCCACGCTGCCCGAACCGACCGGCACCGGCGCTCCGTTGTTCCAGTTGAGGTCCATGGCTTCCATTGTCGTGTCGAGCGACGTGTTGTCGTCCGTCTTGGATGCCATCTTTTCGAGAACGGGACGACCGCTGGGCTTGACGCTGCATTTGATCGCGAGTCCTTTCTTGCCCATCCGCTGCCACCGGTTTTGGCATTGGCGATAGCTCGTAGCAGAACACAGACACGAGTCCTCAGTCCCATGCGGCGTCTCGTCGGACTTGCGCGTTCCGACGATTTTAGGCCACATTTTGGAGGCACTCATGGCGTAGCAGAGCCAGTCGTCTTCGACTCGAATTGCGCTCGTTCGTGTCGCCACCCATCGAGAACCATTTCTGGCGGCAGCTGCAGGGCTGTGGCCGGGAAAGCCTTCTGCGGTCGCCTTCCGCGTCGCGCTGTCGGGGTCGACACCCTTGAGGCCTGCAAGCTACAGTCTACTGTGAGGCGACCGACCGTGCTCAGGTGCAACTCAAACCTCTTTGTCGGTCCACTTCTGGTTCTGGGTCATTGTTGTCGTCGGCGAGACTTTCACTCAAGCAACTAGATACGCAACATGTCCGGATGCTATCAGTGTATCAAGTGGATAAGACGTGGATCGGCCATGAGGGAAAGCAAACATGACCCATCTCTCCAAGAACCTTGTTGAGGCGCGACCTTGAGTTTTCTGTGCAACCACAGCACCAGCTATTGCTGCTCTCGTTCTCGTGGGAAACAGTGCAGTCCTCTGTACAGAAAGCCGCAAATGACATCACTTGATACTCTAACACACGAACACGTGCTGGTCCTGCGTCAAAGGGTGCAATTGATCGGTCGACTTGATATTAAAATCGGTGCTGTTGTTGAAGTGAGCCCATGTAGGTATAATTTCCTCTTGGCTAGTCATGGGCGTGGACCTCCGACTCGACGCGTGTAGCGACTATCCACCCACAGTTTTGACGGAAACCGAACCTTGTGAAATAGTGTACATAGCATCGGTATCTTGAAGAGACACGATGGCCCCCAAGACGCTGGCGCGGAATGAGGAGCTCCTCGATGAGATGACGAGCTACTCGCTGGGCAACTACGTCAAAGACATGATGGCGATCCTATTGGAGCGCCTCATCGTGGACCAGCCCAACGACCCGCTCAACTACCTCATCAACCTCGTCCAGAACGACCCGGCCATCATCGCTCTCGACGACGAGGCGCGCTACAGCCGCATGGACTTGCGCACGATCAAGACCAAGCAAAAGCTCCTCAAAACCATCTACGACGACCTCCGGACGTACGACAAAGCAGCATTCTTGTCGGCTATTCTCGCCTCCAAGCTCCTGCGCCAGCACTTTCCACGCCACGCCAACGACATTGTCAACGCCGTCGTGCAGACGGAGAAGGTGCTGCCACCCAAGGTGACCCTCCGCGACTTGAGCACTTTGGCCCTCGCCGTCCTCGCACGTGCGTCTCGTCTTTGGCTTCTCGTTGTACGTGGTTCATTGTGCTATGGAATAGGGCCGGCGAGTACCTGATCGTGCTTCTCGCGGCTCGATATACGAGCAAGAATATGACAATATTGTGTAGTAGCATATCACGTGCAAAAAAGAAGGAAAAAATAAGAGAGTATGGAAACTACCCTGTAAATGGACCGGCCAAAACACTCATCTCAAGAGGCAAAAAGAACAGACAGAGCGCTGCCAGTAGCGTGATATGAGAAAACGTGGAATGCTGTACACTGCCTTAACAACATGTAACTTTTTTTAGCCAGTCCTAATGGTACATCGGCACTTCGATACCAGGCAAGCGCGGTGATTTCAATGCATATATTTTGTACCACCAGTCGGATGAGATCCCCTTGTCTTGCCGAAACGATAACAGTAAATGGCGTACAACAGTGATGAAAGCGTGAAGGTGGACCACGCAGAAGGACCGAATAAATACAAGTATATTGCCACAAGAAATAGCAAACAAATCACATTCTGGTGTACCAGCATCGAAGCTACTTGCGGCCATGTAGGATCTTGCGACCAATCTAGCGCCACGCAATTTCGACGAAAGTAACCTCATACAACAAGAAATACCTCGTCCTTGTCGCGGTCGTGAAAAGCATTTTCAAGGTTGAGGTCCGTGGCGGGTACGAGGCCGTCGAGGTGCTGGATGCGCTTCTTGTACACGTTGCTGCCTTCGTCTTTGGTCATGACGGCCTCGCGCAGCTGCAAGTAGCCGTCGTGGCGCACCTAGGCACCCACCGAGATACATGTGCGACGAGCCGTTGATCCAGAGAGCGCACCGGTACGTTGATACTCTCGAGCACGTCGCCTGTCACCGAGTCCTTGACGACGTAGTTGGACGTTCGGTTGCCGTTGAGGCGAACGTTTGTGAGCTGCGGCAGCATGAGCACGCAGTGAGGCACGCTTCCGAGCCGGTTCATATCGAGTCCGAGCCGCTGGAGCCGATTCAAGTACATCATTTCATGTGGCAAGTCGGGCCCAAGGCGGTTGTAGTCCAAATTGAGTTCGAGGAGCCACGAGAGGCGGCGGATTTGCGGTGGCAGCGCCGAGAGTTCGTTGTGGCTCAAACTCAAGTGCTGGAGGCGACGGCACTGCGTGAGCGGCAGCGGAAAGGTCCGAAACCGGTTGGAGTCGAGCGTCACGGTTGCTAGCTTTTTGCAGCGCCCGAGCGACTCGGGGACACACGTGAGCTGGTTGCGCTCAGCATAGAGCGCTTCCAGGTGCGGGAGGGCGCCAATCTCGGTCGGCAGCGACGTCAGCGCGTTCCCGCCAAGACCGAGGACGCGTAGCTGCTGGAAAAGAGCCACTTCGGGCGACAAGAGCGAGAGCGAGTTGTTGGTGAGGTACAGTCGCCGCAGATGCGTCTTTGCCCAAGCCAATTTGGATGCTGTCGCGAAGAGCTCCTTGGGCACGAGATCGAGCTGGAGGCTCGCGTGGCCAGACACGAGGCTCGACGCGTGCGGCCCGCTCAAGTCGACGGTGCCGGTCGCTGTCGCCTTCTTGAGCCGCCGCTCGAGCGCCTCGCGCACCCAGCGACGATGGCCGGACGCGAGATCGACCTCGCCCTTGGCGCTGTCGAACGTGATACCTTCGGCCATGAAAAGAAAACCGTTGAAACAAATCCGGAAAGGTTGTCAGAAAGGCCATCGCGATCTTCCAGATTGCGATGACGACGAAAGCTCATACATACTGTACATGCATAGGGTGCGTGCGAGGTGTCACTAGACGACAAGCGAGTGTTCCAGAACGACGACTGCCCGACGAACTTTCCGCAAAAGACCTGCCGGTCGACTACTCGAGCTGCACTGGCGATGGCTGCATGCTTCGCTTCTTCTGGCTCGCGCTGCACCAGCCCAGTGGCAAGTGTACAGTACGCCCTCTCTCCTTCCTTGCGTACAGGTGAGCTCAATCGACCGTTCTGTGATGAAAACTGCGTGCCACTGCAAGGCAACGGCCAAGCCGTCTAGTCGTCTCCGTCCATAGCGCCGGCGCCTGGCTGCAGCCTCTCGAACAATCAGTACAAGGCGTAGACGACGATGTCCTGTATACATATTATCAAAGGCTTCTTTGTTTTGTCTCTACGTCTGCCTCTGTCGTTTCGCAGCGACACCCTCGACATGGAGAGACCCATGGCCTTTCCACAGGTTGACCAACTGCTTGTTGGAGTTGCCATCTCGCTACCGCTCCTGACTTGAATCAACCGCGGTTGACGGTTGGCAGCTGAATAGCGGTTCAATACCATTCAGTAACTCGCTTTGGCGCGGCTAGCGAGGCCATTGTAGCATCGTCGGCATCGTAAAACGGTTTCCAATAACAGTATTTCATGACTTATGACACTAAAACGGTTTGTTGAGCTACACTATTCTCTGCTTTGTACCACACTATTCCATGGCAAACGAACAAGCCATGGGCTACGCAAGCATCCGAGACGCGCTCTTGCCGTTCGTCCCGCCCGTGCTGCGAGTGAACGCGGCGACGCTCGAGGCCCTCCAGCCGTCGACGGACCAGCTGCGCAGCGTGCTATCGGCCGCGAACGCCAAGCGGCTCGGCCTCCTTCTTGTGTGGGCGGTCGGTCTCTACGGCGCCGAGCAGATCGAAGCCGCGCCGATCTTTGTCATGGGCAGCATCCTCTACGCCGTGCTCTCCAACCTCGGCGACAAGGCCACTGACTCGGTCAGCGTCGACGAGGATGGCAATCCGATCCAGCTGCCGAGCGCGTACTCGGTGTTCAACCGCAACAAGCAGCGCTTACCTGGCCAGCTCACGACCGAAGACTTCGAGTCGCAGCTGCGCCACCGCCTGCCACAAGACCAATACGACAGCAATAACGACGACGACAATGTCGTTGGCGCCCACGCCGAGAACGAGGACGATGATAGCGATGCAGAGATGCGCGAGGCCATTCGCCGGTCCCTCGAAGACGCGCAAACGGCGCGGAAGAAGCACCGACGCAAGCCACGATGCTAATACACTACGTGTACTGACTACTCGACGTCGTGATCCTATGCATGGCACTCTACAGCGATCGGAGGAGCTTCTCAATCTCGACGTGGACCTCCTTGTCTTCGGTCGTCTTGATGGGCACCGCTTTCGCCTTCTCGAGCCAGAGCTTGGCCTCTGTCTTGTTGCTCATCTTGAGGTACGTCTCGCCGAGCAAGAAGCTGTTCTTCTTCCAAAAGCCCGGGCTAATGCTCTCTACACTTGCATCATCGTATCAAGATTTCAAGAAAGTATCAAGTTACCGGCGTCGTGAAAGTGGCGCACCGCCTCCTCGTACGTGGCCGTCGGCGGCGTCCCAAAGATGACCGCCGCCGCCTTCTTCTCGTACCACGAAAGACTCGCAAACGCCAAGCACCACTGCCCGAGGATGTTGTGCGACGTGGCGTCCGTCGGGTTGAGTTCAATCGCGCGCGCAATAAACTCCTACACGTGACGCGTCGTCGTCATCGCAGGGCATCCTCGCCGTCGTACCTTGATCTTGTACGCGCCTTCAATCTTCTTGGACGTGCCCAAGAACGAGCCGCATGTGCTACGCAATTCGGTTGCCTTCCGTATCAAGTTGATACACAAAATGGGTACCTCGTCATGATGCCCATCCATTTGTTGCTCATGGCGTGGTTCGGGTTGACCGAGTAAGCTTCCTCGGCGTACTTGAGGCCCTAGATATATGCAAACGATCCAGTGCACCGCAAGAACGCGACATGGCACGACGTACCTCAAACGCGAGTGTCTTCTTGCCGTCATCGCTCGAGCTGTCCGGCATCATGTCCTGGCACGACCGCGCGCATCGCCAGAGCTAGCCACATGCATGAACATCGGTACGCGACGAGTGGTTGCTGCGTACGAGTTCGACGTCCTTGGGGTAATGCTGGAGGTTCGTCGCCAAGTATGCGTGCAAGTCTCGGAACCGAACCTAGGCCAAAGCATTGAGCAAGACAGTGGACTGCGCTCAGTGTACCTGGTCGTAGAGCTCGTCGGCGTGGCGGAGAATGGACTCGATCGATGGCGCTTCGCCAGCAGGTGCGCGGGCCACCGGGAGGCTCCGCGTTGCCGGCTGGGTAGGAACCACGGGCGCAGGTGCCGCGACCGGCGTCGCTACGCAACTCTAATCGGTCGACGCCTCGCAGGACTATCAACGTACGTGGCGGCGGCGTCGGGTCCGAATCCATGTTCATTTCATTGTCGGGATACACGCTCTTTTCGGCAAGAAGCGGCGGCATGACCGACTCGGGCAGCGGACGGTGCTGGGCCGTGTGGGTCATGGACGCTAGCGTGTCATTAGCACCACGCTATCGATGAAGGTGAGCGTACCCGCGACGATGCCCATGCCGATAAACATGAGCGGCGCAAACATGTCCATCTGGAGCACCGACTGCGTACTCGTCATCGCAATCAAGATGGCCACAATGGCCACGATTGCCATAAAGGCGACGCCAAACAGCGATAGCAGCATCGAGCCTTCTTGCACGACGAGGTGGTTGAACTGCGCTTCGTTGGCCATGGGCTCGTCGGCCAGCGCAGCGAGCTCGTCGACGTCGTCCGTCATGGTCGTCTCCGAAACGACCGCCGCCGATGCATTGTTGCGCGCGGTGGGCAGCTCGCGCGACCGGTCGTGCTCGCCGCCAAGGCCGCGCGTCGCGTACCGGTAGAGGAGCGCGGTGCCGGTGGCAGCGCCCGCGACCGCGACGATGCAGATGACGGTCCGTGCCCAGCTGCTGCTCATCGCTCGTCGCCACACGGCGAAATCGAATTCGCTGTTGATGCGACAGCTGATATCTCTACAAGTCGATACCATCAATCTATTCGCTTTGAAGGGTTTTACAGAGTATAAAAGCAGCCAATCGCGCGTCGCACGTGCCCAACGGACCAATCAACGACGAGCACAACCGGTTGAAAGATCGCCAACCGCAGCTCGTGCAATTGAAGGCGGCGGCGAATGACACGGGAGCGTCACCGCTGACGCAACTACTACTCACTTACTAGAGTACCTAGGCCGCAGCAGTCACAGTTGAAGGATCGGTGGCGAGATTTGGGGTTGCAATGTAGCCCTTGTGCCCACAAGGCAAAAATGGCGCTCTCTTAAGCATTGCGTCCTGGACCATAATGCCATCCCCTTGGTCCTTTGAAGGACGAATAACAGCTGTGTCCACGCGCAGTAATTCTATCGAAGGGATCACTGTCCTGTCCAACGCGGACCGAGATCCATCGACAAAGATCCATTTTCTGATCTACATGCGTGCAATTCGTGCTGGTAGCTCGTACGCTGTCGAGACGTGCAGATTGACGCTCGTCCAGCGCGCCTTCTTGACCAAAGACGCGTGAAAGTTGGCCAGCACCGGTCGATGGCTACTGCTCGTGGCGCGAAAATTGTGCATTCGCACCTTCGTAGGCACTGGACAGGGCGAGATTGCCCGTCGGAATTCCGATGCGCGAAGCCGTTGCGGAAGCAGCAGTTCGAAAGATGCGATTGTACCTCACAGTGGTGTTGCTGGCAGCAGCCGCCGTGCGCGGGAACGACAACACGACAACGACAACGACAACGACGACGGCGCCAACCACGACGCCACCGTCGGTCATTACGTTTCCACAGCGCACGACTCTGCCGCCCGCCGTCGTATCCAGGCCGACTCCCGGCGCACCGTCGTCGAGTGTATTACCCGTCGAGACGCCTCCGTCTCCAGCGTCGAGTCCCGACAGCGACGAGGCCGTGCCAACCATCGTCGTTGTCCCCACGGAACGTCCTTCCAAGCAAAGCAGACCCAGCGCCACCGCGTCGTCATCGTCGTCATCTTCGTCGACGTCGGGAGGTACACGGTATATTGCAATGAGGTGACTTCCAATATATGTTCCGTAGGCCAGGCGCACAAGACGCTGTACGTATTGCTGAGCTTTGGCCTCTCCGTCTTCGTACTCGGCATGCTCTTTGTGCTGATTTGCTCGCTTTATAAGAAAAGATGAAGATCCTGCGCCTGCGCGCGCTCCAGCACGCGTCGAATTCGCATCCTGAAGCGAGCGACGTGACGGAGTTTGCGCCCATGCCAAGTCCAAGAGGAAAGCGTGTGTCGTTTAAAGACCGAAGCACGATCTCGTCCGAGCCCCGGTCGTCACTGAACCAAGGGAGTAGGCTCCCACCGTTGTCCGCCGGTAGCGTGAGCCATTATCACCTGTAGGAACTAAAACCTGAACACAAATATGTACTTTTGGTCAAGGAGGCGCCTTGATATCCGCGTGTTGAGCATCATTGCGAGACCTGCGTCGCACGATCTGCCGTGCCAGGCACGAGTTACCCAAGTGCACTGCACTGTATTGAAGCCCACCAAACGCCAAGTTGGTGGCTTTTGATGGCTCGAACGTGGTGTTGGGTTGTGGCAGCGGGTTGTTGCAGGCACGTGGCAAATTCCTAGCGACCGCGAATGATTGCGCTCGTAAACAAAAAAATGGTCTACGAGGACAATCATTCGCTCACGGTACGATTGTGAATCGGGCCGCAAGCTTCGGTTCATTTTGCAATTGCCCTTGTCATGGTCACGTTCGCCGTCTCGTCCGTGAAGCGCAACGTTTGCAAGGCAGGTCCTACCGATGGTCAGCCCATCACGACGCTCAAGGAGTTTGCCAAAGAAGGCTGCAAGGACATTGTCCAAGCAACCCACCTCGGTTCCGTTGTCGCCTCTAAAAGTGGATTTGTGCGCGGTGTCATTGAAGCCTACAACAACCACCACGACCTCGTGCTCCGACCGGACGATATTTGGCTCGCGATTTTGATCCAGTTTGGTTTGTACGTTGATGGCAACGCCGAGGAGCTTCGGTCGTCGCTCGTCAAGCACGAGGGCAAGAAAGAGCTCGTTGTGTACGCCAATGGAACGTTGTACTCGGTCGACTTTGGCGCGCTCTCCAAGCAAATGGTCGACAAGATGGACGAGTACCTCGTGGACCCTAGCCTCAAGCACTGGGTGCTTCCGTCCTTCTCTACCACGACCGATGACGACGTCATTGTCGGCAGCGTCTTGCTCATGGCCGCGATGAAGAAGTATTTCAGCTACAAGTTTTGCCTCCAATGCGGCATTCCGCATGTGACGCTCCTCGGCACCGTGGACGATTGGCAAGACATTCGTCGTCGCCTCGACAAGCTCGCAACGTACGGCGAGCGCATGCAGCAGTGGACGGCGATGCTGGCGCCGATCCTCGATCAGTTTGTGGCAGCAGCCAAAGGCCAAGCCGACGTTGCGTTTTGGGACCGCATCTGCAGCCACGAAGGCGGCGGCTCGGGCCCGAGCTACCTCAACGGCTGGATCAGCGTCTTTTGTGTCTTCAACGACGAAGGCCAGTGGCAAGGCGACAAGATGACCGACACGGTCATGCAGCGCAAGCCCGATGCGGAAATGCAAGACGGATGCTTTCCTTATCATGACGTCGACGTCACGTACGACTACCCACTCGTCGACATGCAGGACATTCCGCCGGGCTACCTCACGGTCGACGTGACGATCGACGACAACGGGACAGAGTACAAGGCGCTCATGTTTGCGGGGCACATGGCTTACAGCATTGGTGACGACAAGGCGTCGATCGCGCCGTCGCTGAGCTGGGCGTTGGCGCTCAAGAACGGCGAGCCCGCGCCCGAGGAAACCAACCCGTTTGGACTGTAAGACCCCCAACCCAGGACGTCGCTATCCAACAGCATGTTTAAAGATGCTTCATTTGAACTCGTTGTGCTTGATTGAAGTGAGTGTTTATGCACCACATGTGGCCAGGATCAAGGGCTGGATGAAGGGCATCATCGACAGGTTCGCAGCGGCTGTAGGACTACGTCTGTGACTGCGCCACGCCATGGCCCCAATCTGTGTCATAAAGAGTGCATCGTTGCGACACCATACTTGTTTCAGAATACAGTGATTCTCACCATCACCACTTTTTAACAAATCTATTGATTTTGACATTCCAATCGGCGAATTTGTCGTCCCCTAACCCTAGACCGCACGACCATGTGCATTGCTTGATCACACCGTCCCCAAAGAAAACACGAGATTAACCCGAGTCGATCGACATATACCTTCCTTCCTTTCGTACGACACGCGTACGCAATACAACTCACTACGACTGCGACTTTGCGAGGCAATCAATCAATGGGCCAGATGGCCACCCTCACGCCCAGAACCATCGTCGGCGACGAGGCTGGCCTACTGCAACGGCAGCAATGTATGTGGACATAGGTCGATGGCTAAAAACACACTGAGTTCTTCTTGCGATGCACTTGGATTGGAGAGCGAGACGGCGCAAATGGTCTGGACCCTTCGCGACCGATCGAGATCGTGTAGATTGCAACACGCATGACGTAGGGTGGAGTGCTCGACCATTGCAAGCTTGTGTTCCATGGTCGTCGTGGCCGCACCTTCGCGAAGGATCGAGGAGAAGAGACAAAGAAGAATGGGTGAATGGTTATTAAGGAGTGCGGTTAGCGAAATAGATCTAGTCGAATCGACTCTAAAATGCCCGTTGGGCATGTGAATGCGGCGGCGCCTGAGTTCGCATCCGACGCTGCCCTTCAGGTTGAGCGGCCGCGTTGCGCTCCTTGTTGGCTGTCTCGCGCTTCTTCTTGACGCGCTCGATCTCTCCCTTGGCGGCGGCGGAGTGCCCTGCTCGGTCCCCGCCGAGAGCGCGGGAAGAGCTTTTGAAGAGCTGCTGGAGCGGCCTCGTCTTTGGCGGCAGCTTCTGCTGCTCGGTGCGCAGACACGATGGCAAGATCCCCCGAACAAGAGAAAGTCCGGGGTCAATGTGGCCACGCCGCATTGCTTGGGTTGCAGTGGCCGTCTTGGTCATCGTGCGCGGCTTGCTCGTCGTCGAGACGGTTGGCGACGTCAGAAGAACCACGGCGGCAGCTTGACGTTCGGCGGCTCTGGTTGCGCCGCTTGTTCCTCGTTGAGAGCGCTGGTCGCTTCCCAACGAGTGCAGTGCAGAGATTGCTGCTGTGGACGCTATTTCGGGGTACCGGGTAAATTCGACTTTGTTTCTCCTCGCACTGCCTATCTTACGTCGCTTTCCCTACTGCCTACATCGCCACATTGTCCAAATCGGTACAAGTGGATGACCAAAGACCGACGAATAAGACGGCCAGGGTGTCTTGAGCTGGCTCCAGCGTCGTGACCGTCGTCATGGCGATCTTGACGCCCTCGCCGTCTGTGGCTATGCCACGTTAGAGCCCAAGCCTGTGCTATAAAAGGGTGCAGCTTGTCTTTTCTATACATATTTCAAATTTTATCTATTTGACGACCACCGCTTTTTGACAAAATCGAGAGCTTTGTCATTCCAATCGACTAATTTGACGCCACCTAAAGACCTAATGGGTCGAGAAGACCAAACGGTCTTGTCCTGCGAAGCTTTGATGTTGCGCGACCAGCACATCTCGTGAGGCTGGTGCGCAAGCAAAAACAAATATACCTTGTAGACGCGCTTTACGCAATCCATACACTCGGCGAACGGCGCGCATTGCATGTTTACCATGGTCCAGTTGGGTGTTTCTAAAGAACTGCGATCCACACGCCAATTCCAGATGCAGTTCGCGGACCTGCCGCTACCGGCGCCGGTGCAGGCGAGTCTTCGGGCCTGCGGCTTCCATGTCCCGTCGCCGATCCAGGCCAAGGCGCTACCAATCGCTCTCTTCGGGAACGACCTCATCGCGCAGGCCAAGTCGGGCATGGGCAAGACGCTCGTCTTCGCGACCGTGGCCATCGACCTCGTCCATCGGTCGAGTACAAGCTGGGCTGTCATGCTGGCGCCGACGCGTGAGATTGCGCTGCAGATCCAGCATGTGCTGCAGTCGCTGCTCGCGCCGATTCCGAGCTTGGACGCCGCCATGGTCGTCGCATGCATTGGCGGGCTGCCCATCGACACGGACGAAGCGAACCTCCGGCGCAAGACGACGCGGCTTGTTGTGGGCACGCCCGGTCGTCTCAAGTCGCTCGTCCAGCGCAAGAGCCTCCTTGCCGACCAAGTCCATCTCCTCGTGCTCGATGAAGTCGACAAGCTGCTGCAACCCGACTTTGAAGCCGACGTACGATCTATCGGGAGCTGCCATTGCTGGACGATTCTAGTAGATGCGCTTTATCCTCTCGGCGCTGCCCAGATCCAAGCAAGTAGGTGTCCATGCCCACGTCTTGTCGGCCATGGCCTTTGCATGTAGACGATCGCTTGCTCGGCCACGTTCACGCCGGACCAGCTGGCCGACCTCGCACTGCAAATGCATCATCCACAGGTGGTCGATTTCGACCTTACACAGGGACCTATGGAAATCTTTGCATTAGTTTGTCTGCGTGCGTGGGCCCAATGTCGTCACAACCGAGTACGTCCAGGCCGACGACACCGCCGCGTGGCGCGACCGGGAAGCCAACGCCGCGCCCGAGGTCTGGCTGCGCGGCGTGCAGCAGCGCTACGTGCTTTTAGATGGATCGAGAAAGGGAGAGTTGCATGTCGTCAAGCAGGAACAGCTCACGAGCCTCCTCACGCGCCAGCCGTTCCACCAGTGCATCGTCTTCTCCAACGACAAGTTTCGGTGCGACAACTGCAGAGATTCATTTCGATGTAGCACTGGCTGGTAGTGCCGAGACGGTCGCCGCAGCGCTGTCGACCAGCGGGTTTCCCGCCGAGTGCATCACGAGCGCGCATAGCCAAGAGCAGCGCACGGCCGCGATGGACCGCTTCCGGGCGTTTGCAGCGCGCATCCTCGTATCGACCGATCTCACGGCGCGAGGCATTGACGTGGACCGCGTCAACCTCGTGGTACGTTCCGATATGGATCGTCGAAACTCGTATATGGATGGATTGTAGATCAATCTGGAGCTTCCACGGGACCCGGCGACGTATTTGCACCGCGTTGGGCGCGCGGGGCGCTTTGGGGGACACATATCCTTTCCACGAACCTTCTTCTTCTTGTCGATAAGGGATTGGTATATGGATGAGACGGACCTTAACGACAGCGTACGGCGTCGCAGTGACGCTTCTCGTGTCGAAGGAGCTTCCCGCAGTCGAAGCCCTCGCAAAGCTCTTCAAGATGAAGATTACCGAGCTCGACCCTCACAGCGCCGTGACGCACGACGTGCAAGACGACGACCACGAGCAGGGCTTGTACGCCCACACGGACCTTCCAGAAGAGCTGTACCAGCGCAACCCGACCCCGCTGCCTCCCGTGCTACCGTTGCCGCCAAAGGACGTTGTCGCCGTTGAGTCGATTGAGGTCGTCACCAAGCCAGCCGATCGACCACGAACACGACAGGTCCAGGCGCGGGAGCACCAAGCACCGAAAACGAGCCAAGACGACGAAGCAGTCGCCGTCCATGTACCCTGCCTTGGCGACGGACGCGCCAATAGCAATATTGGTACCAAGGAAGACCTTGCCGCCAACGCTTCAGAAGAGGCAGCCGAGAAGCAGCTGCCATGGACGCCGTCGCCGGCCTACGTAGACGAGGAAGCGCAGTACGAAGCCTGGTGTCGCGCGTTCCGATAGCTTGGGTATCCACCTCGTACGATGGAGACGGAGACAGAGATATGTCGTTTTTGACCACCATAAGTACGAAGAGAGGGAAAAGACACGCTAGGTGTCAAAGTCCACGAGTTGCCGGACGGTCGCGCTGCCGTTGAGTCGATGGATGGGCGACGTATCGGGGCTCGCATCGTCGTCTTCCTCATCCACATCCTCATCCTCGCTCTCGAAGTTCTTGCTGCTGCGCTTCATCATCGGGGTTGCAAACTCGTCGACCTTGGGGGTTGGGCGCCGCCGGCAGCCTGGCTCGATGCGACCAAAGCCTTGCGGCTGCCACTCAAAGCCGCTTTGTCGTGGTGACTCTTGGAGGTCGTCTTCGTCTTCTTCGTAGTCGTCCATAGCTTGATGCTCGGACGCGAGCGAGAGGAGCGTGCAGACCTCGCGCGTCGGCGCCGCTTCCTTCGTGAGGACGGCGTAGGCTACGAGCCCGAGCATGATCGCGGCCACGCGCAGGAGCACGACGTTCCACGAAGGCAGCATGAGGGAGACGAAGAGCACGTCGACGACGCCGGCGGTGGCGAGGAAGGGATGCATCTTCCGCAGCGTCGACCGGAGCATGAGGCTTGTCTTTGCGAGGGAAAATGGGTTCTGAATGATACGTTGGTCGTCGATACTCAATATGGATATTTTATCCTTGGGCGCGCCTGGGAGCGAAATATTACCGCGACGGCGAGATGACACGCAGGATATATTCATATTGGACCGTTGCGAGAGCGCGTCTGGAGTGAAGCGAGCTTCGACATTTGCACCTAAATTAGAAAAAGGAAGGTATGGTAATATTGCGTCCGCTTGACCCATCCAGCTGATGTACCTGGCGCATGGCGGTGGCTACCGAGCCCGCTGGCAGCTGCACGACGACCTGGGTTCTTCGTCCGCATGGATCAACGCTTGTGGCAAGTTGAACTCCGTTGCGCAATATTAGAGCGTTGATTGGCCAAAACGGGTCACAAATCCTTGGCGACAGCCAATCCGCACATCGCAAGGACTCTGGCCGTCGTTCTGGCTGCATTTGCCCATGAGCAGCGCCAACGTCGAGGCGCAGCCGCTGCTTCCCGAGCGGACGTCGCTTCGCCAGCAGCGCGCCATCAACTGTGAGCTCATGGCCTACGACCGCATGCACGCTCACGGTGGTGCTGCGACAAAGTAGGGTCCATCTTCGTGCCTGTCTGCCTTGGCATCAGCCTCATCTGCGTCGGGCAGCTCGTGCTGAGCGTCGTGCACAACTCGCTCGGCAGCACAGAGACGTTCACCGAGCCCGCGCACTTCTTGTCGCCGCGGCCATCCACGGCCAACTGCTCGCTGCATTGGTTTGATCAGCGCGTGGACCACTTTAGTACGCTCAACACCACTTATGCGCAGGTATGACACATATGGCCCCTACATGCTTTTCGCCAGAGCCCAATGCACGGCGTAGCGCTACTACGTGCACGATGCGTTCTGGAAGCGCAAGGCCGACGGCCATACTGCGGACGGTCCGATCCTTTTCTACTGTGGCAACGAGGGCGACGTGACGCTGTATGTCAACAACACGGGCTTGATGTGGGAAAACGCCGAAGCGCTCGGCGCAGCCTTGATCTTTGCCGAGCACCGCTACTTTGGTGCGTCGATTCGTTCGCACTGCCTCTGCCAACATGGTCCTAGGCGAGAGTCGCCCGTTTGGCGCGCACCAGACGCAGCACTTGGCCTACTTGACGCACGAACAGGCGCTGGCCGACTACGCTGTGCTGCTGCGGACGTTCCAGACCACGCGCAACACGTCGTCGCCCGTCATCGCGATCGGCGGCAGCTACGGCGGCATGCTCGCGTCGTGGTTCCGCATGAAGTACCCTGGCACCATCGCCGGTGCCATTGCAGTACCGATGATTCGTCGACCTCGTGCAGAATGGCTTATGGGGTCGAATGCGTAGGCGTCGGCGCCGATCCTTGGCTTCCCCGAAGGCTACCCCGAGCACTTTACGGGCGAAAAGTACTGGCAAGTCGTGACACACGATGCAACGCCGGCGGCCGGCGCCGCGCCGACGTGCGAAGCCAACGTCCGGGCGTCGTGGCCTCTTTTGTTTGCCACGGCGCAGACAGAGACCGGTCGTCGCCAGCTGGGCGAGATCTTTCAGCTGTGCCGGCCGCTTCGGACAGCGGCGGACGCCGAGACGCTGGCCACGGGGCTCCTCATGGCGTGGGACACGATGGCGATGGGCAATTTCCCATTCCCATCGAGCTACCTCACGGGCGGCGCCGCCGACCTCCCGGCGTACCCCGTCCGCGCCGCGTGCGACCTCATGGCGGCCTCGACAAATGCCTCGACCCTCTTGCCGGCGATGCGGAACGCGGCCAACCTCTATCTGAACGCCACCAAAGACGTGCCTTGCTTTGCGTGGGATACCCTGGACTTTGACGGGCTCTGGGGCTACGTGTGGTGCTCGCAGATGCTGCCGCAAGAGTCGTACTTTGACACGGACGGCATCCACGACATGTTCTGGGACCGGTCGCTCTCGTTCGATCAAGTCGCGGCCGACTGCAAGGCGCGCTGGGGCGTGTCGCCGGACCCCGACTGGATCCGCACCTCGTATGGCGACCTGAAGACGATGCTCCAAGCGACCAGCAACATTGTGTTTTCGAACGGCGGCTACGACCCGTGGCGCGCCGGCGGCGTCCTCTCCAACCCGTGGAACCCACGCATTGCAATTGTCGATATCCCGGAAGGCGCACACCACCTGGATCTCTTCTTCAGCCACAAGGACGACCCGGTCTCGGTGCGCCACGCCCGCCACATTGAGCTCGACCATATCCGCCAATGGATCCGGGACTTTAACGCGTAGCTTCCGTAGCAATATGCATGCGATGAGTAGTATCATGAGGTTGTATCTTGACGCGGATGGTTGCTCCATTAGTGAGCTCCCGGCCTAAGATCTTGGTCGATGAATGTCCTGTTGGTGGAGGTCAACCATGTCAGGTCGGTGGTTGCGTCAAGGTCGAGGGCTGACTGTTAACGACAACGGAGACGACTTGTCGGCTTGGCCGTTGCCTTGCAGTGGCACGCAGTTTTCTATCACAGAACGGTCGATTGAGCTCACCTGTACGCAAGGAAGGAAGAGAGGGCGTACTGTACACTTGCCACTGGGCTGGTGCAGCGCGAGCCAGAAGAAGCGAAGCATGCAGCCATCGCCAGTGCAGCTCGAGTAGTCGACCGGCAGGTCTTTTGCGGAAAGTTCGTCGGGCAGTCGTCGTTCTGGAACACTCGCTTGTCGTCCAGCCACACCTCGCACGCATCCTATGCATGTACCGTATGAGCTTTCGTCGTCATCGCAATCTGGAAGATCGCGATGGCCTTTCTGTCAACCTTTCCGGATTTGTTTCAACGGCTTTCCTTTCATGGCCGAAGGTATCACGTTCGACAGCGCCAAGGGCGAGGTCGATCTCGCGTCCGGCCATCGTCGCTGGGTGCGCGAGGCGCTCGAGCGGCGGCTCAAGAAGGCGACAGCGACCGGCACCGTCGACTTGAGCGGGCCGCACGCGTCGAGCCTCGTGTCTGGCCACGCGAGCCTCCAGCTCGATCTCGTGCCCAAGGAGCTCTTCGCGACAGCATCCAAATTGGCTTGGGCAAAGACGCATCTGCGGCGACTGTACCTCACCAACAACTCGCTCTCGCTCTTGT